GATACCAACCATCACTGGCAATCGCGTTCACATCGGTGTACTGAATTGCCTTGTGGGCGAGTGAATCCACAGTGCTGAGCTGCTTGCGCGACAAGAAGTAACCTGCGAATGTTGCGCACGTGAGAGGCATGTTCTTGTCAAGTTTGAAAGACTTCTGGGTATATTCGGTCATTGCTTTCTTGTAAAGGCGAAGGAAGTCGGGGCTGTTTGTAGGAATGTGACCGCTGGCATCGAGGTAGTAAAGACCGAGGAGAATATTTCCGACCTTGTGGTCCGGGTTGATCTCGAGACATCGCTCCCAAGCAAGCTTAGCATCGTCCTTGAAGCCGAGCTGCCAGAAGCAACAGCCAATGCCTATTCTCGGATCGGGGTCGACGAAATCGGGCATCTTCTGGAGGACTTCTTGGTAGCAAGCCAGGGACTCCGGGTACTTTCCTAGCGAGAAGAAGGTCCTCGCCTTACCCATAACTGCCAGCATGTTCTTGCCTTGTGATACTCGAATCGCGTCTTCGAAGGCCTTGAGCGCGGATCGCAAAAGGTCCGCCTTTTCGGAGTCTACCTGTCCATGGCCCGACGATGCCTTGGGAGTCTGCAGGGACGCTCTAAGAAGCTGAAGAACTCCACGAGCCAGAAACAGAGGAGGGAATGCCGGGTTGATACGCGACGCATCATTCAGGGTCGAGGTTGCCAGTTGCAAGTAGTATTCTTTCGTCTTGGCTTCAGAGGCCAATTCGCCATCTGGCGGCACTCTCGGGGCTTCGCGACTCTTCCACAGGTACATCCAGCAAAGGCAGCCGATCATGCTCAGCTTCTCCCTAGGGTTGTTGTCGCGCATCGCGTTTCCACCTCGCACCAGCATTTCGATGGCATGGTCGATCTTCTTCTGCTTGGCATAGGCCAATGCAACTGTCATCCAGTAGGTGCGGGCGGCGCGCTCGTTTTCGAAAAGGGTACAGAGCTCGGTAGGATCGTCAAAGAGTTCGAGGAGATCGATTTCGACAGCTTCGTCTTCGGCTTCGCCCTGAACCGGGACGTCAATGGCGGCTGGGATGTCAGAGAACCGCTTGCTGACGGGCGCGCTCGATGCGCCATTGGTGCCATTCATCGCGCCGTTGCGGAGCGCTGACATTTTGGCGGATGGGGAGGCTATGACATGCCTCGGATGGACTCGGTGATGGGGATGATGTGAAAGTGAAGCAATCTAGAAATTTGGGGGAGCTGGGATGAGGCTGAGGAAAGAGATCAATCAGTCGCGTCTGTTGGCCTTGCACCAGTGGAGTGGGTCCCGGAAAGACACTAGTGGGCCCTCCTGCAGCGAGAAGGCCTTATGGAGCATAGTATCTGATTGGATATCCGATCAGCAAGTACTCAGTACTTTGTCTTAATAGTGGAAGTGACTGTAACATGAGGTCTCGCATACTTTGAGCTCACTTACACGCTCACTTCATCTCGAGCCTTCCAGTTCTCTTTCCACAAGTTTATCCAAATTCGATGAAATTATTCGACTTACTCAGTAAGTCCATTCTGGTTGGGTTGAAGTAGAAAATGGTTTTCTTGTCTCCTGTTTTTGCCACTGCGTTTTGCGTAGATAGCAGGATGCAAGCATATGATCGAAATGATATGTTGCTTCACACAGTTTGTATGAAAACTTGAATATTCGACTGGTCGTCAAGATTCCAAATGTAACAAGCTCATCACCTGGTTGCATTAGAAAGGAAGCAGATATACGAAGGAAGGGGCCAACGGCACTCAAAATTGGCAGGTGAAAGTGAGCTCTTAGCACCTCAGCAGCCAAGCAACCCACTTTCACTCTTGTCCTCTCGTCACCACCCTTCTCCCTCGCATTCTAATCACTTAAAGCGATGGGCTCTCTCTCCAAAAGAAACCGGATTCAGTCTGAGGTTCTTGGCTCGTCCTTACAGATAAGAATCTTAAATCAGACACTCGCTCTTCGCATCATTAATTAAGAGGCCTTTGTGCCACCGCACTCACCATGCCGGTCATCCCAACAGCCCCAACCCAACAGGCTAGCGAATTGGATCATCGAATGATTACAGTTCACCATGAAGCTTCGTCAACGACTCGACAGGTTGAAGAACCAAGCGGCCCTTTACCCCCAGTGTCACCAATCTCGGAAGCTCAGTGTTCCGGATGGGGGTGCCTCACTGAAGCGCAACAAGCTGGAATCATCGTCACAATTGTCGTGGTTTTCGTTGTGCTGATACTTTCACTGTTGTTCTTCTTGAGAGCTAGGAAGGAGGAAAAGGACTGGGTTGACAGAGATTTTGTTCTCGTTCGTCAGAGCCGCCGTCCCAGAGCCATAAGTCAAGCGAGCTCTACCAACTTTCAGCGCTCACGATTCTTCTTCAGACATGAAGACCTTGCTAGCACACAACGACCACTTCAGCCCATGATCGCATACCCGACACATATTTATATCCCCTCACCACCTCTTCCATCAGTCCCGGTACCGTTGCCCATGCCAATTCCTCAGCCTCGACCGATTTATCCGGTGGTTTACCAACCCTACTCCCATAACCCAGTGCATAACCATGGGTTCTATCAGAGTCACGGACAGCCTGCGATACCGGCGTTTTCTATCAACACTACAACTGAACAACCGTCACAGCTTCCCAAGGCCCGGCGACCTCCTCATCGGGCATGGACAGCGGGCTGTGGCGATCAGAGCATGCAACAGCCGCCTCGAAGAAGAGCTTCAATCGCCCGAAGGCTTTTGGACATTTTCAGTCTTCCTGTTGGCAGAGCATCGACAATAGCCAGCTCCGACACTGATTTAAGTCGTGAACCATCCATCAGAAACAGTCGTCGTTCGCATGCCTCAGCAGCCACCATCAGCACGCCGCCTTCTTCCGAGGCAAACCAGACAAGAGACGTCCCCATAGCAACACTACAAGAGAGGCTAGATGATGCATCTCTCTCGGTGGCAGACGTTCCAGGTCATGGTTCTGTTACTGCCACAAATCAGCAAACCATGTTTGCTACATTTCAGAAGGCAGAACCGGACCCGTCTACCCAGGAGGATTCGACAGACCATAGAATTTCAAGTATGACACAGGAGACGACCAGTCCAAGCAATTCATCTCTCAAAGGGCAGGGCAATGAAGAGCGTATCGGTGACCAAGAAGATGCTGTACCAGTTTTGCTCTTCCAACACCCATCGAAGTCCGGAACTCGCGACATTCCTCGCAATATGAAGCCACTTCGGAGGTATGATCTTCAGTTGATAACAATGGCAAGAAGCTAACCAACACAGTGCTCTTAAGAATGGAAGGAAAGCCGCCGAGGCAGCCAAAACGAATGACGTGATTGACCAAAACGACCCTACGACCAGTACAGTCAGGATTAATACCGTGGATGCTGAGGATGCTCCTCCAACTACTGCAAACAAGACTGGCACGGCAGTTGAAACTAATCCTTTGGCCAAGGCAGATCCTAGGTATACAATTACTGCTTTCGAAGTTAGGCATTGTGCCATTGTATTGACTGTTAAATAGCACTCAAGCAGCCTTCGCGAGCGGCCGACCGGCGACTTCTTCAATGGCTGTGGAAAGCAGCCTGCACAGAAGACCAGAGTAAGCAAATGCATGGTTCTCATGATTGCGGCCCACGAGCTGACATGATCAACAGGTCAAGCCATGGGACCAAGCCAGCAGCAAAATGTAACTACAAGGAGAGAGCAGACACCGCCAACAATAATCATCAAAATCCTTTGGAGACCCCACACCGAGCCGCCATACTGATAAGCGAATCTCCCATGGCCGAATCAAGCAGCCCAGTCGGAGTATCAGAAAAGAAGCACGGCCACATCCCGAAGGTCGTTCATCACCTGCAAGAGACCTCGAGAAGAATCCAAGACTTACAGTGAGTCTACCAGAGTTCATCTTGGCCTAAGAGGCGTAGCCCTTTGCTAACATGGCTTTAGATTTCACTCGTCTGATGACAAAGAGACGGATGAATATCTGAGCGACAACTCACTGCCGCCGTCCCCCCCAAGGCCCGTCCATCAAGGCGGCGGCCAGTATGCGCCGGATCAGCTCCGTAACAAGCATTCAAAAAGATCCCATTAGTCAACTTCAAAAATGATAAACACATTGGTATTAACATCAACAGGTGAGGACAATCGCAAGGTGCTAGCACCGGATGCGCTCGATGGGCTTCAACAAGGAACATGCCCTCAACTTTGGGTCTTCAGGACAGTCGTAAGCTTCGACAGCTGTCAGCCATGGGAATATGCTAGTTGAGGTTGAGACAGTCTACAGAGGGGTGTGTGTTGCCTTTCGGGTATCCGGCATGGTTTGTCTGGGTCATTTACGATAGGTAATGGTGTCAGGGTTGAGAATAGAGGTATGTTGCAAAGATGTGAACCAAACAGTACCCTCATGCCTCCAATGGAGTTTGGAGTGTGGATCATGATTCATAAAGGCTACCCATTTTATGTTGAGTTGTGCATGGTCGAGATTTCACGCAGATGCACCGCGCGTGCTAAAGCAGGGGTAAGTCAAGCGTTTGTGTCACGTTGGTCCGTGCACACGAAGACGAAGTACGTATCTTGTCCGGGTGCGTTAGGCGCTGGGGAGGCGGCTTCGTCATTGCCTGCTTCTCCGGCTGCAATGGCACTTGCTACACCCTGGAGCTTACCTTTGTCCAACCTCGCAGCCCCGATCACCTCTCCCCACGCCGCCCGACTGACCCAAGCCCGTTTGTCCGCACCTATCTTTTTTCGACCCGATCATTGTTCCTTCAGTCTTGAGCCCTTTCACCTCAAGACTGACCCTTCTTTTCTATCGGACACTGCAACTACCGACTGCTTGATTGTCGCATGCCGGCAGACAAGCCTCTACCGCCCCTCCCCCGCAACTCCCGGCTCAGCTGCGCATTCCCCGTCGCGCATCCTCACTGAGACCGCAAACCGTTTTGCACGATTGAACATCGGCCTATAGTTTTGTTTGACGCCTCAATCAACACACAAGACCTACGCAATGTGGAACGACGAGGACAACAACCCTTACGCGGAAGGCTTTGACCGGAGGGATAGCTTGACTTCCTCCTCAGCCAACCCGGCCTCTCCTACCACTCGTGAGTGTATGTTGCGGTCTTTCCTCCATGCCACTCTTCGCGACTTGAAGGGCCCTGGAAATGATGGAAACCATACCTCTGGATGATTCTTCAGACAGTACTGATGCCGACTGGGAGACTCTAGACCAGCGATTCGACATCCCGCAGACCCCGTCAACGACAAGCGACGAGGGCCCCCAGAATCGCCCCCACGCCCACGAAGATAGTGAGGTTGAGAGCAGCGACAATGAGCCGATTGCTAGAGACAGAGGCGACATTGTCCCGCGCCCCAAGCCTGGTGGTTACGAGAGCCGAGTCGAGCAGATCCTTTGGGAGAACCCGTCAATGACTATTCTCATTACGGATGCGGGAAAGAGCGCGGAGAGCGGGGGGAAATATATCGTCTACACCATCCGGACAGGCGTATGTATTTCCGAGAAGAGGCCCTACGACCGAACCGTTGACTGACAAACGCCCCAGAATCTCGAAGTCCGCCGACGTTACTCTGAGTTTGCTTCCCTGCGCGAGGCGTTGACCCGACTTCACCCTACCCTGATCATTCCCCCCATCCCCGAGAAGCACACCATGGCCGACTACGCCGCGAACCCGACGAACGCGAAGCAAGACCAGCAAATCATTGACCTGCGCAAGCGCATGCTCGCTGTCTTCCTGAACCGATGCCGGCGCATGGAGGAGGTCCGAGCCGACGGTGTTTGGTGGAGATTCCTTGACCCTAACGCTAGCTGGGTGAGTGTCCGAGTTCCTCTGGTTCTACGTTCCAGCTACTGACCAAACACAGAGCGAGGTGTTGCACTCCCATCCGGTGGCTTCGATACCCAAATCAGTCCTGAAGGCGCCTCCTCTGGATCCCCCGAACCCCACGCCGGCTCACAATTTCCTCCCCATACCAGCGACCTCGGCTAAGCTGAAGACGACGGGTGGCCCTGGTGTCGACCCCGGAGCGATCTCTGGTACAGGTTCCCACGTCTTTGGCCGTTTCCCCCTGACAGCCACAACCTGAGCGAGCAGGAGCTTGACCCTTACTTCATTACGTATGAGGCTTCGATCAAGGAACTAGAGCAGTTACTGTCGGGATCCATGGAGAAGGTCAATCGCAGGACTCTGAGCCACTTATCCGTTCTTGCTGCAGATCTCTGCGAGCTGGGCTCAAAGTTCAATGCGTTTGCGCTCTCAGAACAAGCGCCCTCTCTGGGACCAGCCCTCGAGAGAGTTGGCCAGGCAGCGGACTCCTCCTACATCGCAACAGAGGAGCTCTCTGGCTCGCTTGGAGCCAGTTTTGCGGAGCCGATGCGCGAGAACGCACAATTTGCAGGCGTGGTTCGCAGCGTACTAAAGTATAGGGTGCTGAAGCGGGTTCAGCAGGAGCAGACGAGCGACGAGCTCAGTAAGAAGATTGCATTACTCGACCAGTTGGAGCGGAGCGAGGCGGAGGCCAAACGTATCGAGCAATACCTGAGCAGCAGCCAGCAGATTGCGCCGGCACCGAAGCGATCAACCAGCCTTCGGGAGGCGAACACTTCACACCACCAGCGTGAGGGTAGCGCCGAGGATACGGCGTCTATCGACTCGGATTTTCCCCCTACCCACGGCGAGCCAGTGCCCACCGCAACGCAGGGAGTTCCGCAGCGAAGCAACTCAACGCCTGGCCATAAGAAGGCCGCGAGCAGTAATTCGATCACGAACAAAATCTTCGGACCGATTCGTCATGCTATTCAAGGTGTAGCCGACGTCGACCCCGAGAGAACCCGCCGTGACATGATTGGAAAGACTCGGGAGAGCATTGAGCAGCTGGAGCAGGCAAAAGTTGTTTCCGAGCATGACGTCAAGGAAGCCAGCACCAGCATCCTGAAGGACTTGAAGAGATTCCAGGGAGAGAAGGAAGAGGATCTGCGCCGGTACATGGTAAGTCGTCAGCACGCATGGGCTCATGAGTATACGGGGACTGACGTTAGTGACAGCTGGCCTATGCCAAGAGCCAAATCGAATGGGCAAAGAAGAACAAGGAGACATGGGAAGATGCCAAAGCCGAGGTCACCAAGATTGACGAGAGTTAGTCGGTGTATGGGTTTGACAGAAAGGAAGGGAATTCTCGCAATGATATCAGAACAGTTCTGGCTCAAAGCTCTTGGACTGTTCGCAATAATATGACGAGGCGTTGAGTCTACCGGGCTTAGTTAATGGTTTGCTCGTCAATTGACGTAGGATAACAAAGCTCGCTTGGCGTTTACGAGGGTATTTCCATTCGTAAAAGCCATGGAATAGTCGAAGACAATTTAATCAAATTAGTTCAGGTACTTGGTTTCGACCCGTGAACTTTGCCGTGGTCCATCTTGGGCCTCTGTTCCTTATACTGAATGTTCTGGTGGGGACCACCTTCCAACGATTTGTAAATCTGATTTGAGTAGTCCATCAATACCCTTCTGTTATTGACTGCAGGTAATTATTCTCTGCGTAGCATTCGTCGTCAAAGCTTCCTTCCTGCAGGCATTAGCAACTCAACGTCGAGGACCCCGCGGTGTTGCGCGTGCTTATCTTGTTATCGATAAGAACCCGATAAAGCTCCGAGACTTCGTCGCGAGGCTCAGACCAACGGAACCCGAGCTAGCGTGTACTTCCCTCTTGTCTCGCTTTCCCCTTCTCTTCCTCCTCTTTGCGCAACACCAGAAAACGTCCGACCCGCAACAATGGACGGCGTACAGGGTCCGCCCCCGGAGGGCCCGATTGCCTCGATTGCAGAGCCGGGCATCAAGGCCGACGGCCAGCTGCTCTTCGATCTGCGCCGCGAGGTCGCCGCTCTGTTGCACCGCAATCAGACCAGCTTCCCCGGCGCGCAACCTGTCAGCTTTGCGCGCAAACACCTCGAGGAGCTGCGGAATAAAGAGTGAGTTTGTTGCGCGCGCGCGCGTGCGCTCCCCCCCATCGTCGACTGCTCCCTCAGTGTTGGGCTCGGCCGTCACAGCACAGCCGGACTCGAGGTAATGTTCGTGGGACCAATGTCGCTGACAACTGCTGCGCGAAACAGTTACTATGTTTGCGAAAAGTCGGATGGCATTCGGTACCTCTTATACCTCACCGAGGACGATGGCCGGGAGATCCACTACCTTATCGACCGCAAGAACGACTACTGGTTTATTAAGAACAACAGCTTCCACTTCCCGCGCAAGGAGGATCTGACAAAGTTTCACACGCGCACGCTCATCGACGGCGAGCTGGTCATGGACGACACGGGCAAGGGCCAAAAGGAGCCGCGCTTCTTGGTCTTTGACTGTCTCGTGCTCGACGGCCAGGACCTCATGTCGCGCACGCTCGACAAGCGACTCGCCTACTTCAACGAGAACATCTACAAGCCCTACCGGGACCTGTTCAAGCAGTACCCGGAGGAGCGCGACTTCCAGCCGTTCCTGGTGGAGATGAAGGCCATGCAGCTGAGCTACGGCATCGAGATGATGTTCCGCGAGATCCTGCCCAAGCTGCGGCACGGCAACGACGGGTTGATTTTCACATGCGTCAGCAGCGACTACAAGCACGGTACCGACCCGCACATCCTTAAGTGGAAGCCCCCCGAAGAGAACACGGTCGACTGCCGGCTGCGGCTGAGCTTCCCGACGGTGCAGCCGGGCGAGGGTGACGACGACGTGGACGGCCCGTTTGTCGATTACGAGGCCGTGCCCCAGGCCCAGCTGTTCAGCTTCATGGGCGACGGACGGTACCAGTACTTTGCCGATGTGCACATTACCGAGGACGAGTGGGAGATCCTCAAGGGGCTGGGCGACCCGCTCAACGACCGCATCGTTGAGTGCCACAAGGACGACCTGGGCCGGTGGCGCATCATCCGCTTCCGCGACGACAAGTCCGAGGCGAACCACATCTCGACGATCAAGAGTGTCATGGAGAGCATCGAGGACCGCGTCACGGAGAAGGACCTCGCCGAGGCCGCCAAGGGCATCAAGGACAACTGGAAGACGCGCAATGCGAAGCGATAACCCGGCTCTGAACCCACCTCGCGGGGATGGAGGCCACGATTCACTCCAAGAGGAGGCCGCGACGTCCGTATTCTAAAAAAGTTCGTGCGTCGGGGGGTGGCGGTGTGGTGCTTGTCGATGTACATGCGAACGGGAGAGGGGGGGGAGGCGTCTTGTGTGTTTCGTTTGCAAAGCCAAGCAGAAAAAAGTAAGGGAGGGGAGTCCGAAAACCGGGGGAAAGGTATGTGTAGCTTGTACCGCCTTTTCCCCCCTTCCGTGTCCGCGGCTCTGCTTTTTTGGGGTGCCCTTCAAGTTCGTTTGCGCTCATGGCTTTTATTTTGGCGTTACAGCTCTGGGATAGCGGGCATTAAAGGGTATCATAGGGATCCGGGGTTTTCTCGTCTTCACCCCCATCGAGAGTCATTTTTGAGTAGTGTAGTATGGGAAAGCAGGAGGGCGGTCGTCGAGATGCGCTTTGGAACAAGATACGCAATGTAGTAATCAACCCTTTCTTCGAGGCGGCCCATCTTTCAAAAAAGGGTTGTTAATGCTCTCTCTCTCTCTCTCTCTCTCTCTCGCGCGCGCGCGCGCGCGCCGTGGGAATGTCGACTCTTGGCGTCTTTTCTGCAAATGTGTGTTTCACAATCACAAGCCAAGAAAATCGCCAAATGGATCGAGGGCGACTTGTCTCGCGCAAACAATGTCGTCTTCATTTTTGACCGGGCAGGGTCTCTCTCTCTCACTCGTTGCTCATTTAATTGGCAGGAACCTACCAGAGCTTGAAATTACATGTGAGTCTCCCGTTGTGACGGTAGGGTGGGAGCTCTTCCCCAACAAACTCTCAGCTCATGTACCTTGTCTGCCGGAGGCCACGGGTGCGCAGGTACCCAGCATCCAAGCTGTAAAGGTACCTACAGGCTATAGCAAACGAACACGACGGACCCTTCTAGCTTCTGGACAGACACGAGCCAAAACCCGCCTAGGCACGGCAACGGCCTCGAAGACGTCACAGGCAGCCCCCGGGCGAGTTTCCCCAATCTTACCTACCGTACCTCACTTAACGTGCACACCTTGCGCACGCACGCGGCAACGACCATCTAATCTACCTTGGGCGGCGAAGGGAGGGATGAGAACTTGAATAGTGCCTTTGGAGAAGAATCAAACCCTTCCTCGACCACGTAATCTCCACTTCAATTGCTCTTGCCCAAATCCTTGCGCTCTTCTTTAGAGCTTCGTCTACCCTGGCCTGCTCCAGAGCTCGCGATAGACCCAATTGGCGCGGATTGATTACATACGATACTATCCTTACTCACCTCGCACTCGAGTGAGCTCCAGACAAAGTTTGATTGCCACGCACGATGATCCTCGGACCGGTGTCGTTGCTCGACTGCCTGGCCTTTGTTGTCTTCCTCGCGCCGCAGCTCCTTCTCCATGTTGGCTTCTTCCGGACACTGGCCGTCGCCATCAAGACGTTGCCGTTTCTGACATTTGAGCTGCCGACCTCGCTGCTCCACGAACGCTATATCCTTCATTATAACCAGCGTTCGCCATTTGTGCAGCGGGCGACCTTGTTCGAGGACGTCGTCATACGATGCGTGCGGTATGCTTTTGCGAATTTGCCCCCCCATATCGGCCGCGTCTTTCTCTCCAAGAACGTTTCGCGGCCATTTCTGAGGTTTCGCATGCTGCGGCACGGTTACCTCAGCTCGCCCGCCCACTGGAGCGAGTATAGGCAACATGTAAGTCCAGCCTCCACCTCAGCGTGTTACGATCGGTGGCTTAGTCTTTCGGCAGGGTGAACACGGGTTCCAAGGAGTCTGGGTCACCAAGGATGCATCGAAGCCTCCTGACGTCGTCATCTACTACGCCCACGGAGGCGGGTTCTCTATGGGATCCGCGTACTTTTACCTCGAGTTCCTCCTGTCGTGGCACGCGCTGCTGGTGCAGTCAGGCTACCAGAATCCTGCCATATTCGCCCTCGAGTACACGCTTGTGCCCGACAAGATGTACCCGACACAGATGTATGAGACGTTGAGGGGGTACAAGCACGTCCTCGACAGAGCCGGAGATCCTCGGAAAGTGGTGGTGGCCGGGGACTCGGCTGGAGGAACATTGATTTTGACGCTCTTGCTGGAACTTGGTCACATGAACGAGGCCAGGGCTTTCAAGGAAAAGAGCGACGATGCCGCCGTATCTGAAAGCGAGAGCCAGGAGCAACTCCGCAAGGCTTCCGAGTCGCCGCTCCCTGGGCTCTGTGTGTTGATCTCGCCCTGGTCCAAGTTAATCTCGAACAGACATGAGAATTCGGCCAGCGATTTCCTGGATCGCGACACGCTGTGGAAGTACGCGTTGCAGTATGCCGGGACCTCGCATGCCTACGATAAGTCAGCGTCGCCTGGGCAATGCGTCGATCATCGGGTATGGGCGGAGGCTAGCCCGCCGTGTGGCTTCTTCGTCGCGTACGGATCCGAGGAAGTGTTCGCCCCCGACATCAAAGACCTCATCAAGGTGCTGGTGAAGAGTAGCGAAGTGGACAGCCGCTGCGAGGAGGGCGGCATTCACGCCTGGCCCGTGGTCGACTTGTTCTTGTCAGGCAACGAGAAAAAGAGGCTGAATGGTCTGCGGACACTCACGTCAGCGATCAGAAAACACATACAGTAGCCGGGTGTTAACGCGCCCTCCATCCGACTCCATCATTCAGATTAGATCAAGTTTCAAACTGTCATAGACCGAGGCGCGCCAACCTCGAAACCAGAGCTGGCACTCGGCTTCTGCGATCGTGGCCTCTTTGTTGGTCTCCAGCCATTTCTCTATCGTTATCATCATCAATGGCAGCCAATAGAAGGGGCCGCAAACAATAGAAAATTTTTGGTTTGATTACCTGCATGACTGAGCTGTGTTCCTGCATACCGGGCCATCGGCCGACTGGAAATTAGAGCGGTAGCGGCGGGATTCCCAGTTGAGGGATCGCAACACACATTTCGCAGACGCGTTGAAGGATGCGGACAAGTTCTTTACAGCCCCGCTTGGAAAGCCGCGCCGAAGTGAGCTTGGAGTGCGGCCTGCGACGGGGACACTGGAGGGCCCGTCGCATAGTGAAAGCTCGGACAGGATAATGGAGCTGCGGTGGGTCTTGGGTGAGGTCATGGATGGCTTAACTAGATGACTTGAGAAGCGCGACGGCTTTGCGACAGAGAAGATCCTCTTCGGACGACGGGGTTCCTTGATGTCAGCGCACGGCGAAAGGCTTGCCAGTGCTTGATGTACAGGGAGTGTGCCAGCTCCAGTGGCATTGGAGACAGCAGACGGCGGGGTTTGACGAAGTTGGGCGTGTGTCTTTAACGCAAAGCAGACGGGACTATCGGTTCCAGGCGCGAGGGTTGTCGAGTATCGACAACAAGATGGGCTTGGCCGAGTTCGAAGCTGTTGTCATTGAGGAAAACTCAAAGTCAAGGAGCTGAGGAGCGATAGTCAGCCAGGCTACCGTGCCCTGCTTTACATGAGGCAGCCAGCCAGCCTGGTGTTACTTCGTGCCGCGAGGTGCAGCAACATCTGCTAGGCTGCGGTATGCAGCGGCAACATGGGAAGGCGACAAAAAAAAAAAAAACGCTGCCCAAGTCGCGACTTGTGAGTGTTGATGGCCAACGCGGCGGCGACTGTCTCTCGATTTTCTTTGATAGTGGTTTCATTCTTTTATTTCTCCTCCCGCAACTGACAGAGACAGAGAATAACGACGCTGGAGTGTGGCTGACGGGAAGAAGGAGGAGGAAGAGGAGGAGGAGGCAGAGAAGGGGAAATAAGAATTAGAGATGATGATTTGAGGTAGGTCAAGTCGAGCGGGATCATGTCCCGTCGAAAAGGATACCTTAATTACCTTCAGGTTTAGCAGGTACCGGTAGAGCTTAGCTTGCAAGAAGAACACCTCTGCCTCGCGGAAGAAGCTAGCGGCTGTGCTGATGCAGAAAACGGGAAAGCGTGGGCACATCTCGAGCACCCTGGTCCAATGAGGATGGCAGCGTGACCCCTGCTTGGGGTTTTTTTTGGGGGGGAAGCGAAGGGCAGCAAAGGGGGAGCTCTGACCCGCGACGCGCATATAAACGGTGGACATTCCCACCGTGATCCATCCATCGCCTTGTGGAAGGAACCCGCTCACTGCGAACAGAAGGAACTGATCCACCCTGACGCTGGCTGCACCTGCCACCGACCGTACCGTCACCTTACGGCCCGTCACTCGCACACTCGCCGCCCTCATCCCATCGATCCAGGAGCAGCAACAGCACTGCTCGCACTTGCACTTACACTTACACTGCTGTGCTTTCCGCCCAGTTCGTGCTGGTGTCTGCCTGCCTGCATGCTTGCCTGCTCGCTTTTGTCTGCCTGTCAGCCGGCCTGCATCCTTCCATATGGGCGCTTTTGTCGTGAGGCTTGACTGACCTGACCACATTTGCGACTTGTGTTTGGACAAAGCCAACCTCTATTCCCCCTCTTTCCACAATTTCTGTTCCAAGATCTCCCCGCCCTTGTTTCTCGGTTTTTTCTCTCTCCCCCGAGGATTGGAGCCACTCCCGAGAATACCGCTGCCCCGCATTCACATAAACCTGACTGCATCGCGCGTCAACCGCTTCAGGACCAAACCCCGAAACCCCCAGGTCACAGTCTCTTAACCACCCCTGGCTCGCCATACCTGTACACACCGAAACCTTATCGAGTGTCATCCGCCGAATTTCCAGGCCTGACTCAGCAGGAGGAGGTCCAAACTCGCAACTTACATCGAGTCGCTGTATTTGGCACATACTTTACAGAACACCGAGCGACGTGTCTCACAGCCACGCTGTGCACACCAGCCATCATTCATTTGTTTCCTCTTGGCACCACTCGTTGATCCACGCCTGAAGAGCTGCCTGGATCCTTCAGCCTTACCACACTGTCCCGTGTGGCCAGCTTAGACTGGTGTACGAAGCTACGCCCCAGTTGGGTATTGGTTGAGGCTGCCTAGCTGCCACTTTGCCTCATCGACATCACGACCTTGTCGTGGGCCTTTGGAGCCTTCTGCTTTGTCACTGCTAGTGCCCCCGTTCCCTCGTGGAAGAGCAGCGGTGTTCTGCCGCCTTGCAAGTCGCATTTCGCAATCCTGGCTGCTACCCGCTACTCTTTGTTGGCCTTCCTCGAAGAGCGTTGCGACCCTTTCGAGACGCCTTCCCACTGGCCTTCGTAGCTCGGGTTTTCTTTGGCAGCTGTACCGGCAGCTGTACCGGCGTTCTGGAAACATCACATACCCGTTGATGTTTCTGGGCGTGTCTGAGTCTGTCTGTTCTGTCTCGACGTGAAGTGCTCCTGTACTCAAGCCCAGCCCCGTCACCTTGGCTGAGGCTGTTCTACACGCGAGTCACCCACGCATTCCCAAAGACAGCCTCGTTCTGTCTCGTCTTCTGTTTGAGTTCAAGTCGAGTACGGTAGTGGTTTGCTGCCTCGAATCGCTGTCACCATCGCCGCAACTTGCATTGGCCCCACGTCCGCCGGACTCTCCATCCCATCTAGACTCCCAGCACACGTAGCGCTGGAACGACGGCCTGCCATTCATTCACCTGCACTGCACGCGGCAGCCCAAGCTCAAACCACACTTTTACGCCACACCCCCGGACAGGTACAATACGACCGGACGGACCACTTCCCCTGGCCAGGGTGGAATCACGCAAACATTGCATTCTTGTTTGTCTGTGGGAAGCAAGTCACCGACGCAAGACACACAAGAGGACGAAAGAGAGTGAGGGGATGCGGGCTGGTTTTTGTTCTTAAATCAGTCCCTGCTCCTCGCTTAATCATCCAGTCCCCACGCCCGCCGCCAACCTACCTTGGAACCTTGGCCTTCTTTGCACCAGCCAAGGCCCCTGTCATTCACTCGTCCTCCACTTGCAAATAAAAAAAAAGCGGCCATCAATTTTTCCAGAAGACCCAGCAAGCACCGGGAGAGGGAAGGAGAGGCAAGGGAAAAAAATTCATAAAAATGGCGGAGGACACTACCACCTACGCACCAAAGTCGCCGGACCTCTCTTCTTTCTATTCGGCAGCACCCGCCCCGCCCACGCCTCCACTGCACAATCTGCAGCACAACCAGCAACACTTGAACAAGCTGCAAACCGCTGCACCGCCGGTATATGAATACTCCTCCCCCTCGTCGCGCGCCTACCATCCTCACCAGTCGTCTTCAACTCCTGTACACATCAAACAGGAGCCGCCCCACTACCCGCCTTCAGTGGCAATAAAGTCCGAATCAGTCTTCCCTTCCTATCAGCCACCACTGCAAACCCACCAGCATCAGCAGCAACAGCACCAACCACAGTACCTGTCCCCTCAGTACCACCAGTCGCCGCCACAACAGCACCAGCAGCACCCATCTACGCAACATCCACAAAGTGCATATGGGATTCAGCCCGCCGTCAAGTATCAAGAACAGCAACCGCATCAGCCCCCAACACCACAAAGCCAGGGGTTTCTAGACCAGAAAACATACGGCGCAACGCCTCAGCTTTACGATATCCCGTATAATCCGGACTCACAGCACCTTCCGCAAACACCGGGTTCAGCAACAATGCCTCCCAGGAAGAACACCCAGTCGGCTCCCTCGCCGCCCCCAATTGATCCCTCACCAGTTCGCACCAAGTTCCCCACCGCGAGGATAAAGCGCATCATGCAAGCCGACGAGGAGGTTGGCAAGGTTGCCCAGCAGACGCCCATTGCTGTCGGTAAGGCTTTGGAGATGTTCATGATTGCTGTCGTCAGCCGAAGCGCCGAGATCGCGCGGGAGAAGAACTCGAAGCGAGTTACGGCTCAGATGCTCAAACAAGTCATCGAGACAGATGGCCAGTACGACTTCTTGGCCGACATTGCCGCCAAGGTCGGCGACGAGGAGAAGCGGGGCAGCCGCTCCAAGGCCGAGTCGGAGAGTGAGGAAGAGTTGGAGGTCGAGACGAAGAAGAAGGGCAAAGGCGGCCGTAAGAAGAAGGCCGCGTGAGCTTGCATCTCCCGCTCGATGTTGGGAACACTTCCGTGATGAGAAATACGATTAGGGTTATGAGGATTGGCGTTGGACTGGCTAGCATCTACATCGGCGTTGGGTGACATGACGGGGGAAAAACTTGTCTAGATGTCACTTGGAATGGGCATATGGTGGTATATGGCACGGCATGGAGGAACCGAGCGCTGTTTCCTCGACTTGCATGGCCAGGAACGGCTTGTTCTTGCTTGTATGCGCATTGGGCCTGTCGCCGGACATGCATTCATACCAATTTGTAGAATGAGAATATTTTCGTTGTTTGCGCATCATCATCGCAAATTACCCTCACCACATGGCAGCGATGAAATGTAGCACTGATCATCTTACTTACACTGGAGACGTCTCATCTGAAACTCACTTTCACCGAGCCTAGATGATCAAGAAGCTTGTTCCGCTCTGCACCGCCTACCGTCAGAATGGCGCATTCGATGATTTCCGGGTCGGAACTACTTCCTTACAGACGAGGGTCCTCACTCATGATGCACCCTTCTCTCACCTAGGCTGCCCTCGTCTCTCACGGAGGAGGGAAGCCGCCTTATGCCAATAATATCATGAATGCATATAAGACGATGGTGCCCCGCAGACGTGGGCTCGGCCGCCGCCTCCATTGGTCCTAGCGCGGCCTCATCCTCTCGGGCCCGGCACTTTGCGGCTGGTTTCTCCCCCCTAAAGGTCCTAAGTACTCCGTGGCTCCGTCGGTGCCAAGGTTCATGGCTCGCTGAGGTAACCCGCAGCACCTTAATTTGAAGCCAGAAATTTTAGGCACTAGCACTGAGAAACGGCGGGTCGTACATGGGGCCTTCCTCCCACCTTCCAAGTCACGCTCTTACATTAGTGGACAAATCAACCTTCCAATTCACGGCGGAGAGAGGGAGCTACCTATCTACATCGAGTAACCGGCCACCGTGTGTACCTGGGCGTCTTTCTCAAGTCTCTCTTGCCTGCTACCCTCGACAACGTACCCCCCAAGTCTCTCGAGCTTCCCGCCATGCGAAACTATCCCTCGAACTGCGAATCCCGTTCATGTCCATGATCAAATGAGGCACCGAGCCTCACTGCCACTTGCATCCTTCTTCCCCCTCCGTGGCGTAACCAATGTCGTGGGACCTGCTCAAGCGATTCCTTGAGTCCGACGTCTTCAACTCGAACCCCTTTCTCTCGGTCTCCTACCTCTCGTGAGCGAACCCCCTATTGCGCCCGCCCATTTCCGGCTTGAGCTTCCATCTCAATTGATGCCGCCACGACTTTGGAATGCTTTGCTGACCCCTGGCTTCTTGTTTGATCTAGCCGATACGCCGACCATGTGGGCATTCACTATGTCCTCTGCAACAAGCTGCGCCAATTCCCTTACGAGGATATCGAGTTCTTTCTTCCGCAGCTATGCCACCTTATAATCAGCGTCGACAATGAGTCCATGGCCTTGGAGGAGTTCCTTTTGGATTTGTGCGAAGAGTCGGTGACTGCTGCGCTTCTGGTTCGTGTCCCCGCTGTTGCTCGCTCGCCCTCCTTACTCACTGTCTTCCAGACATTCTGGCTCTTCCAGACCTATCTCCACGACCTATCTTCCAATCCACAATCCAAGGCCTTTCAGACATGCCGCAGGGTGTATAACAAAGTGCAGCATATCGTCTTTGGACTGCCAGATGCCGCGAGACACGACAAGATTAAGGAGAACATTCTGCCCGTCACGGTCCTGGCGAGCTTCGTCCTAGCCAGCGTCGCGGTCCCCCTCGTTCCGCAGTGGGCAGGACCACTCGCCGTGGCACAGGCTCGAAAGCCTCAGCCGTCCGACGATCTGATATCCGATTCCCGAGAAAGCAACCCCAAGACGGCCCAGGTGACGCGGGCCCACACCGTGACGGCCGGAAGCTCGAGGTCCAAGCGTGCGAAGGATGCCGGACGGCTCTCCAGCGCGCCAGATCTGGTGCTGCCAGGTTCCGCGTCGGGCAATTTGCATCATCGATCGACGGAGCCGACTCCCATACAGCCAGATTCGTCTGGCTCCAAGACTCCAGTCGAAGCGAAGCGTCTGCCACCTCATCTCAACATGAAGAGCGACGGTGCCCGTCTTAGCTCCTCTTCGCTACCGCTTCCTGAGCTACGATCACCCAGACTGGCTATCACGAGACCGTCGACCCCTGTATCAGCAGGACTGCCCCAGCGACCGGGCGACGCCCTCAGCAGGAGACACTCCCATCACTTCAAGAGCGGCGCCACCGCTGCCGAGTTGACGCCGCTGCAGAAGACGAGATTACTGCGGCAGCACTACTTTAGATGTGAGACGCAGTTTCTAACCGCTCTCGAGGGTATTTCAAACAGACTTGTGATCGTGCCAAAGCCTGCTCGTCTCAGTGCTCTTCGAGCAGAGCTGGCCCTCATTGCGCAAGATCTGCCGGCCGAGGTGGATGTCCCTGTCATATGTCCCCCAACTCTGGTGGATGGTTCTCCGGCAAAGAGCAGACATCACCGAATAGTGCGCTTGAACCCAGCAGAATCAACGGTATTGAATAGTGCGGAGAAGGTGCCATATCTTCTCATGGTGGAAGTTCTGAGAGATGATTTCACTTTCGACCCGGATACGCCAGACAACAGGAGGCTCCTCAGTACTCTTCTTTCCGACCCAGGCCATACTAGACGTATTTTTGACCTTTCAGACTCGCCACGCATAACGACAGTGCCCAAGACACCGGAGACGATCATCGACAGCGTGTTTGAGCCAGTGTCTGGCGATTTGGGAAGCTCTCCCTTGATCAAGCCGTTTGACGAGGATCCTATACAGAAGCATCAGGCGAAACAAGTTCCGCCCTCTCAACCTCAGCGCCTACCTAGCAGTACCACTACCACAATGTCGAGTGTCGTCTCTGATATGACAACTCCGCGAAGCTCTGGCGCTTCGACTTCGAGATCGAGCAGCCCGCCCGGTCCACTCCGCAAGATGACGATTACTACACGTCCTAGCGCCTCGGTAGACCAGCCAGATTTCTCGGCACTGGCAACGCACATGCGGACCGCTTCGCAGATGCTAGCGCAGCTCGAGGCTACGAGCGGTAAGCGGCCGAGACATGAGGTGCAGGCTATCAGAGCGAAGATTATTGCCAGCATGCAGAGTCTAGAAGAGCAGAGCTTCGACATGGATGAGCAGGGTCCAACTTTCGACACCATCATCGCAAAGGCTTCGACTGCGCAGGCGAACGCCGTGGCGAACACTGAACCCCCGGATGTCGAGAGTGAATCTCCTGTTGAACCAGGGCTCAATGCTGGTGCTGGACTTGCGAGGATGGAGAACGATATCAAGACCGGCGGCATTCAGAGCAAAGGCGATCGCGATGATCCTAGTGCGGCTGTCTTCGGTGAAGCATGGCAAGCAAAGAAGGAACGTATTCGCAAGACATCGCCCTATGGCTGGATGAAGAACTGGGACTTGGTCAGTGTTATCGTCAAGACGGGGGCCGATTTGCGCCAGGAGGCTTTTGCCTGCCAGCTTATTGATGTCTGCCACAAGATCTGGGTCGATGCAAAAGTCAACGTATGGGTCAAACTCATGCGTATTCTTGTCACAGGAGAATCGTCTGGTCTGATCGAGACGATTACCAATGGCGTGTCACTGCACTCCATCAAGCGAAGTCTGACGCTGTCAATGGAGACGGGCCCGAACCAAAAACGCCGGTTTGCTACTCTCAGGGATCACTTCGTGAAAGCATTTGGGGCTCCAGACAGCGAGCCGTACAAGGCAGGAGTGGACGCCTTCAAGCGTTCTCTTGCCGCATACAGCATGATATCATACATCTTGCAGCTGAAGGATAGACACAACGGTAATGTCTTGATTGACAGCGAGGGACACATCGTGCACATTGACTTTGGCTTCATGTTGTCCAACTCGCCAGGTTCGGTTGGTTTCGAAGCGGCGCCTTTCAAGCTTACACAGGAATACATTGAGGTACTGGGTGGTATCGGGTCCGATGATTACGAAGACTATAAGAAGCTCTGCAAGCAAGCCTTCCAGGGTAAGTTTGGTAAATCCAAGGCCGCAATTGGATTTTCTAACTAGTGGCAGCACTGCGGCGGTCTGCGGATAACATTATTGACTTGGTGGCCATGATGGGACGAGACTCGAAGATGCCTTGCTATTCAGCTGGCGTGGCCCAGGCAACGCACAACCTTCGCCAACGATTCCAGCTGCAGCTGAGCGCGGACGAAGCCGAGCAGTTTGTAGAGACAGACCTGATCGGCAAGTCCTTGGGCAGCTACTACACACGGCTGTAAGTAACGTCGCAGTCTTGCTTGCATTACCATACTGATGTCTTCCTAGCTACGATACCTTCCAGTATAGAACGCAGGGCATTTACTAGACGGTTGTGACGATGGACACCTGAACAACAGCTCTGGAAGCAATGGGATATAGCATGCATCTAGGCATCTGGGCGGCGTTGCGGTTGAATAGACGACTGACTGGCTAGTAATGACGAAGCCGAGGAATGATCTCGGTCATTTACGACTCGACGGGGGGAGGAAGCCTTCAGAGAGGCAAAGATACCTGCCTCTTGCAGAGAGCGACTTACATAGGATACCGAATTAAGATGAATGACTCATACATGGGACTTTGTGTACGGTGGAATGCTAGTGGCACATGATGAGAATGAAGCCAAGTCGCAAAGTACAATGCGGTTCGGGGAAATAATCAAGGTTTCTGCTGCCGTCTGCTTGAAAAGGGTGAAGTTTTGACGGAGTGGCACTCGTCCAGTACGGCATACGTTTTCGTGTCTATGTCAATGACGACGCCGACTTCCGAGCTGGAAGCCGGGCGTACTGTGTCTCCGTGATCTTATCATTATGCCTAATCGTGGTTCTTATGCGGAGCGGTTTGATCCACGAACCAACCTAGTTCCTGCTCTACATATCCATTCACGTCAGCATGTCGCCCCTAGGCGATACACAAGCAGAGATGGCATCTTTGCCCTTCGTATATCTCGGTTGTAGGTCAGAAAACTGACAGTTGGGCGATTAGGGACGACCAGCATGCATGGGCGCCACTCATTCGAGCCGGCGGCATGGAGCGACGCGCGGGATTCCGAGTTTGGTGGATGTCTTGCTTCCCATAGTCTTCTTTGTCTTGAGAGCCGGCGTTGCCTTTTGGTGTTTCATGATTGCCATGCGCCTGCGAACGCCCACGTTTTGATGAGGCTGGAAACAGCTCTCTCCCACAATCACGGCGACGGTTTCCCTGTTTGAGGATATCCCGGCTGTTCGGAGGAAATATTACGAGCCGGCAAGAACAGGTTGCCGGGTCAGAGTGAAGCACGACGCGCAGCACAGGCAGGTTCTTTGATCAGATATTCCAGATGCTTCGCTTATGTCACAACAGCATGCAGGCAAAGGAGGTGATCCTCTTAAAGTTTGAACTTCTCGTCGGTTGCTGGCTGGCAAATGGCGATTGCGGACACTCTCAGGTTGAAGGTCTATTTCACATACGTACATTTATATACACGGCAAGGGAACAGGCTGGTATTTGCAAGCCCTCGAGATCGAGTCGCGTGCGGCGAGCTATCATAAAGGGACGTCTTGGGTCCGGTTTCCTATGTGTACTTTGATAGCACACTAAGAGAAGTGTGGATAGTATGGAACATATTTCTGTCGTTCTTGTGTTCTGCTCCTCTGGATTTGATTCGTTATCTCTTTTCAATTTTCTTCCCGGAACCCTAAATCCAATTTCTACATCCTCACAATAAATTAACCCTCTCAAATATAGTCTTTAGTTTTAAACATCCTTATTGCAAGAAATAAACCTAGCAGTTACTGGTCATCCCTGTTGCTTGCAGACCAGAGGCTTTCCGGACCTTGTGGCTTTACCTGAGTACTTCCATTACGCTTTCATCCCTGAGACCAATGGTGCTGTCGGCGATGATGTGATTTTTCCGTGTGTTGATAGCAGACCGTGTTCAGAAGACTCTCTCAAAGCCCCCAATAAGTTGGACACGGCGCCTACTAAGTGCTCGTACCCCTTCGAAACCCACCTACCTCTCCAGAGAGCTTGAACTAACCGCATGTCACCCGAGACAGCCGGTAAAAAGATAGTTCGTATTGAGTAGTCGCAACACAGTAATGGACGTCATGGGGATCGTGGCGAAGGGCGCCCTTTGCCGGAACCCAACGGTTTCTGTGTAGTCTAGGAGGGGACCTAATAATCCCAGGTCACTCAAATTGTGCATCAACCTGTGCTCTTAAGTCGGTCTGATCCCCAACCCAACAGACGCTGAAAACGGCGAAGACGATACACAGCCGTGATAACAACTCCGCTATTGTAAGCACCAGAGCACATCCTGTTCCCGCCAAAGAGAGGTAGCTGAGCTGCAAATGGTCTTGCAGTATCCAATCACTGCCTTGTTCCCTCCCGGAACGTCGCCTAGGGGTCTTACAAGAGTCTTCATAACATTCGCAGTATTCCACGAGCAACAGTTGAGAGGAAGACCATGACTGGCTAGATTGACAGCTTCAATCATGCAGCATCAGCCACAACACAGCTCTCGGAGGGCCACAGCAAGAACAAACGCTTGTTTTCTTAGGAACCATTCTCTAGAAGGGCAAAAAGTGTGTATAAAATAACATAAAAGGAACCCGACTTCTCCTTGAGAAAGTTGGACCGAGAATGCATTCGCTTCTGTTGCAGCAGACTGCAAAGCAAATAGGTGTAAAGTGGCACCAGGAATTTACCTGGCGTGCCAAGACATATAGTTCAAGCATCTCCAGCGCAGTCTGGAACTGGTCACAGAGTCGCGAGGCCTTCCAGCGTCTTGTCGCTTTGATGCTACTATAAGGCTGCGTCCTAGAGATGGTCACCACGAAACAGCTTGGATTGCTCATCGCTTCTTGCTTCTCTTTGCGGTCTTCTCGCCACTATTCGTGCTTTTGTGCACAGTAACCATCGAAATGTAAGAGGGACCGCTCTAGAAACCGGACCTATTAAGCAATGTAGTGTGGGGTTATGCCCAAAGACTGGAATCAGAATATAGGTTGAATTATGCAATCGCCCTTACTCTGGCCAGGGACAGCTAGGTCTCTTTTGAGCGACGTTCCTCGAGATTCTTCTTGATGTGTATCACACTTTGGAAGAGAACAACTAGCGCGTGTTAGTATTCGTATGCAACAAAAGAGCCGCCATGGGGTGCAAAGGGGGGAGTGGGAAGCATACCAGCGGGAACCACAACCCAGGGCGCGTTGAAACCGACGTAATATATCCAGAAGTACAAGAACTCAGGCCTACTGTGCGATACGCCATTGAAGTACAGCTCGGTCAAGCTGGTCGAGTAGTAGAGCACAACACCGTATAGGTGTCCGACACACATAATGATCTGTAGGGGATAGCGAATGTGGTTTCGCTGGGCAATGGCGATGACGATAGCCCAGCAGACGGGCCCCCATACGACCTGGAGTCTGTGTCAGTTTGGAGGTCGTCCGCAATGGGAAGAGACGTTGTACGAGGCTATTGATCGACTTACAACCGTGAAAGACTCAACACAGAGCATGAATGGGTCCGAGGTTAGATACCGTGAGTCGGACAATGCGTATTCCTTCCAAAGCTGGGCGAAGAGTGTCTGCATACTCGCAAGGCGCTGGTGGTTCCAGATGAAGTAGCCTGGAGACTTTCATCAGAATGTGAAGACGAAGAAAGCGTTGAGAAAGAAAATCTCACCCTCGAAGAAGCAGTGCAGAAACCCGCCTATGTGACGCTGAGTTAGCTAAGTTTGGATGGCGAGGCCGCTGAAAGTCACCCACAAAGAGCGAACCAAGCCACGACAAGTTGATCCGAGATAATCATCTGGGGACGGAGCTTTCTAGCGACTAGAACAGCAACGACGGCAACGCTGGCGATGGTGGCCGCGAACGTGACCAGCAGCTTGGGGAGGGGGGTCTCGTTGGCGATGTAGTGCGGAAGCTCTGCGTTCTCGGGGTAGTACGGATGCCACATTGCGGCCATTTTTGGCGAGCCGTCCATGACGGTTATGGTCTTCAGTTGGGGTATCCTGAGGAGTGCAGAAACAGTTCGCGAAGTCGTTCCAAACATACCCAAAAGTATACGTGCATTTGGTGTCTTGTTGGTTGGCGAGGCTCTGCTGATGGGGAATATTACACGAGGTCCCAGGCTCCCATCTTTTTGGCGCTCGAGTCGCTAAACGGTAGTAGTTGGGCGGTCCTTGCCCGCCGAATGTCCCGGGGCCGAAATTGCCTGTCCGGGGCTTCAGACTTTATTTCCCACTACCTGAGGCTATTTGCGAGCTATTCCGCTTACCGCATTTCATTAAAACGACAGCCGTAGTCGCAGTACAAAGGTAATGTCGCCGTAAACAAGGGTGGACTTGCGCGTGTAATGCTTACAAGATACGTTGGGCGAACTCTAGGAGGGGCTAAATAGGAAAGTCGGACCGTTGATCTTCCGCTGTAAGTCGCTCGTTACCGCCAATTATGAGATGCCTTCGTGGCACGCTTATCTTCCGCCGTCAACATCGTGCCCCTGAGTGAGACCTCCCCTTTCAACCACCGACCTTTGTAACATCTTTGCAGCATCGCATCCAAGTCATCCGAAATGGGTGATGTTCCAGTAGAGGATGCGCCTTTCCCGCTGACGGAGGTCGACAAGTGGGTCCTCTCGCAGACGGACGAGGAGTTCAAGAAACATGGCTGGGAGGAGCTCAAGGAGATTATCAGTAAGTGAGCCTGCTGTCCAGGATTCTGGATCTGTTGGTATTTCGCTTTTCTAATCACAGTGCCAGAGACGAACAAGCTGGAGGTTTTGAAGAGGAAGCCCTCAGACCTGCGTCGATACATGAAATGGACGGCCGAAACCAAGGCTGAATATGGCTCCATGACCAAATACCTCCTCGCAAACCGCCTGCCCAAGCCATGGGGGGCACCGCCATTCACCCCTAAATCTCTGATCCCGTTCGAGGATCCCTCGGACTACCGGGTTCTCGTCAATGACTGGCCGTATGGACTGGATCCAGGCATCACCCACATCGTCGTCTGGTCGCGCACCATCATCCCGACGGATCCCGACACCGGAGACATGACGCCGGAGAGCAGACGCACCGTCCAGGAATTCGTCGACAGGTACTTTATCGAGAGCCTTGGAGAGGGCGGAGCGGAGCAAGTGGTCTGGTTCAAGAATTGGGTCGCCTTGCAGAGCGTCCGGGCGTTGGAGCACATCCACGTGCTGGTACGAGATGTAGACGCCGAAGTCATTAAGAAGTGGACTGAGGAGAAGGCATGGCATAGACAAAACTGAGGGGGACCAGTTTCGATAGACACGATCAGATGAGTTGCCTCCGCTGCCAAGTCCCATACACCGCATTTCGTGATCGAGCTTATGCGGCCCGGCGTTGCCTCCTGTTGACGGGTGGAGCGGGCTCTTCGTTGTTTGCGGCACCGCCCATCTGAGCCATTCGCTTGCCAGCCCCGAGCAGCCCGGCGCCGGCGTAAACGCCGTAGGCGGGGACAGAGAGCCACAGGATCCAGGCCCAGTTGCCGAACAAGACGACGAGGACGACGGATGCCCAAGTGACCCAGATGACGTCGAACATGTACTCGGTCAAGCCCGAGGCGGCGAGGTCTTCGCCGGAGGCCTTCAGGCCGCCGCCGGCGTCATACTTGGGGCGTCCTGCGTTCTCCAGGACGAACTCGCAGATGAGAGCCGGGGCGGACAGCAGGAAGAACCAGAAGAGAGAGCGCGACTTGAAGAGGAAGTAGAAGACAAGAAAGCCGACGTTGACTACGGCGGAGCCAATGTGGAGGTTGTTGAGGGCGGCGGCGTTGGATTTGGCCCTGTCCTTCTTTGCCTTTTGTGCCATGGTCGAGGAGGGTGAGTGTTGTTCGGGGCAGTGACTGACTCTGGGCTGAGTGTTGACGGGAATGCTGATGATGGTGCAAATGAGCTGCTTGATGATGCTGACCTCCCAAAGTGGAGACCGACGTTCCTGCAGGTAAAAGACAGGTTGCGGCCAAACTGCAGCGTGAGGCTGAAAAACGGGAGTGACGAAATTCCAGAGAAGCACCTGAAGTGAGTGGGTGTGGCTTAAGCGCGCGGGGGTCCAATGGATGTGAACGGACGGACGGCGAGAAGTGGAGTCCCCGAGAAGCAAAGGTGGCGGGTGGATGTCTCTGGCGCAAGGGGCGAGGACGGGAGGGCGTTACGACCTTGGACCGATGGGGGACACGGGGGGGGGCTGGCGGCGGCAGGGGAGGGGGGGTTGGCAGTGGCAGTGGCAGGCAGAAAGGGCCACTGGCTGAGCTGTGGGCTGAGGTGAGGTGGGCACTCCATCCTGTCGGGTTGCTTGGGCGATGGAAGGTGACGGCGGTCGCTGAGGCATCGCGGGAGCCAATCAGACCTACAGCACCACAACACTAGGCGCGAGGTCAACACCCAAACCTGCACCAGAGCGTGTGAACCGGATAGTGGACATGGGAGACAATGGTCATGGGCCTGGACCTGGAGTGACACCTTCACGGCTTTCTTTCTCACCTTCCTGCCACCCCACGGAAAGTGCACGGCTGATCTGGCCCGATCTGAGCTAACTGACGTCTGTCTGTTGATGTCCAGGGGCCAATTCCACCGAGATAGACACTCGTCTGTAACCTCGTACTTTCACGCACTCTCTCTCCCGCCTCCCGTCTGTTCCTGTTCCTGATCCCCTGCAGCCCCTCCTCCGCTCTTCCTACTCTTCTTCCCTTCCTCCACATTCGTTTTCTTGACCTTGTTGCGCGTGCTGCGTATGTGTCTTATTCACTGCATTCTACCGCGCCGCGCTCTTCTTGGAAACGCCCTGCTTGGTCAGTTCTGATGGACGGCGGTTTTGTCTTGTGCCGCTGCGAGGAGCCGATACTGCTGCACATTTGACTTGTTTTCAGCGTTGAGAGGGAAAGAGTTCCTTTTAGCCTTCGCTGCGTTTCTGTGCCACTCGCCGGGGAAACCCAAACAATACACACGCGGGGACCCACCACGTAACGAACGCCCTTCGTCGCCCCGACCGGCACGCAGCACCATCAGCAAAAAAAATATAACCCATTGAACCACGGCAACGACCTTGCGACCCTCGCCGTCGCTTCTTGCAGCATTTCCGGAATCTATTCGACCGACGACGCCCGCCTATCACCGCCCTCTTAATTGCTAATACCTTTCAATCAGCCCGGTACATAACGCGCCTTACAGTCAACCCATCCGGATCCTTGCTGCTCTCGGCCTCAGGCTCCGTGCGACCGCCCATCTCGAAATTCACGACCGCAGCTTTTTGCGCTCTACACAGAATCTCATATCCAAGCTCGACAGAGCTCAACCAACGCCTCCAAGGTCTTCTGCCTACCTTAGCCGCTCCCTGAGTGCACTCGCCAACCTGGCTTAGGCACCGCGACCCCCAGCCTTTCCACCTCTCACGACGGTTGCACATCCCACGCGAGATCCCATGGCCATAAACTGCCCGCGACGTTAACACCCCTCCGTCCACCCGCCCTACCTCTCTACACCACGCCCTGAACATGGCGCCCACGAGCGCAGCCATAACAGGGCTGCTACGCCAGGTCGTCTACTACCACGTGGACAACAATGCCTACGAGAATGCCCTCTTCTTCGCCGAGAGGCTAAGCGCCCAAGATCCCAAGTCGAGCGAGTCTGCACACCTCTTGGCCCTCTGCCACCTCCGCCTCGGTGACCACAGGACTGCCTTTGAAATCAGCAGGCCCTCTGCTTCCCGTGGGTCGAACCTCGGCGCTGCTTGGGTCTTTGCACATGCTTGCATGAAGATGGAACGCTACAAGGATGGCATCAACGCCTTGGAAAAAGCGCGGGAGAAGTGGATTGGCAAGATGCACATGGGCAAGCACACCACTTCTACTCGGTCACTATATCCGGACGAGGCCGCGGTCCTCTGTCTGCTGGGCAAGCTATACCGGGCTTACGACGACAAGCGGAGGGCCATCGAGTGTTTCGAGACTGCGGTAAGGGTAAACCCCTTCATGTGGGATGCTTTCCAGGCCCTCTGCGACATGGGCGTGAAGCTACGGGTACCCAACATTTTCCAGGTCACCGACCCCCTCACCCACTCGTTCGAATCCGAAGTCGCTGCGTTGTCACAGGAGCCCAAGGAAAGCACGGCGAACTCCTTTGAGCCCAAGAGGCCCTCAGGGCGCACAGCCATGGACTCCTCCGATCCCTTCAACCTCCACCGTTCTTCCACGTACCAGGACATGCCCTACAGCGCAAACATGTTTTCTGCCGAGGCGGAAGAGAATGACTTCATGTCCAAGATCACTGCGGCAAGGTCCAGGCTGGCACCGCCATCCACGAGTAACGGAGACCTAGATTTAATGGAAACGCCCACGGGGCCGGTATCCATGCCGGAAGTTCCGACTATGCGCTCTGCATTTGGCGCCACCGAGCCGCCGCAGGCACCACCACGCAGGACGAGGACGGCCCAGGCCGTGGAACCGGGCTTTCTGGAGGCACCGCCGAAGATGAGCTACAAGTTGGGCGGCGCCAAGAGAAGCACCAGGAGTCAAGATAAGGAACAGCAGCCCGTGGAACTGCATTCAGACAGTGGCACCGGTACCAGTGCCTTACGATCGGCACCGGCACCCACAGAACGAAAGAGGACAGTATCTGGGCACCCTGTCTCCCGACAACACTCCGAAGAAGCCAGTGCACCCGCGCAACGGAGAAGCGCGAGGCTCAACATGTTTAACAAGCCCTCGATCATGAAGTCGAACTCCGGCGCCGCTACTATCGGCGCCACTACTGGTCGCGAGCTGAAGAAGGCTAGGCCCCAGATTTCTCGAATAATGCGACCTGGTTCTAGTGGCTCCAGCGTCGGCAGGGTTGTGAGTGGCAACCGCAAACCCATCGAAGACAGCGGTATGGATGTCGACCATGCCGAAACCGCCCGCGTGAGGGAGTCTCATGCGGTACAGCACGCAGCACCGAAGACCGCTCCTGAGCCTGACCACGCCAAGATCGAGGAGGCTCTGAGATGGGTAATGGAGTTGCTGAAAAAATTCGCATCCGGGTACTACTCGCTCAAAGGGTTCCGCTGCCAGGAGGCGTTGCAAACGTATGCTTCGCTGCCGAGAAGCCAGCAAGATACTCCCTGGGTTCTTGCACAGATGGGACGAGCGCATCACGAACAGGCTGCATACAAGGATGCTGAAAAATACTTCAGAAAACTCCGCGTCCTGGCACCCACCCGGATGGAAGACATGGAGATATACTCGACCATCCTCTGGCATCTCAAGCGCGAGACGGACCTCTCGTTCCTCGCGCACGAGCTGGTCGATGCCGACTGGACGTCGCCGCAAGCTTGGTGCGCCCTCGGCAACGCGTGGTCGCTGGCACGAGAACACGAACTGGCATTGCGCTGTTTCAAGCGGGCGACACAGCTCAACCCCAAGTTCGCATACGCCTTTACCCTGCAAGGCCACGAACACGTTGCCAACGAAGAATATGAAAAGGCTCTCAGCGCCTTCCGCAAGGCCGTCACAGCTGACCGGCGTCACTACAACGCCTATTACGGCATAGGCCAGGTCTTCGAGAAGCTCGGCAACCACGAAAAGGCCTACGTACACTTCCACACGGCATCCGACATCAACCCGACCAATGCTGTCCTCATCTGCCGCATCGGAGCCATCCTCGAGAGGCAGAAGCAGATGATGGCCGCATTGCAGTTCTACACCAAGGCGACAGACTTGGCGCCGCGGGCGGCTGTTGTCCGTTACAAGAAGGCGCGCGCCTTGATGAGTCTCGGCAAGATCGATCTTGCAGAGAAGGAGTTGCTCATCCTGAAGGATATGGCTCCCGACGAGGCCATGGTGCACTTCCTGCTTGGCAAGCTGTACAGAAACATCAACGAGAAGCAGATGGCGGTGCGCGCCTTCAGCAACGCGCTCGCTCTAGATCCAAAGGTAAGAGACATTGCAGGCTACGGTATGACCTATTCAGCTAACAACCTGCACAGGCCAGTCAGTCGATCAAGGACGCCATCGAGAGCCTCGAGGATGATATGGGCATGGAAGACAGCATGATGACGTAGCGTGACGGCATGAGCGCAACGGCTGCCCGATGCTAATGGTGTTTGACACTGCCGGCAGGGGCAGAGCGTATGCACGACTGTATATGCATTTCCCAGGGATGCTGCGAGGATTGAAGATGAGTCCAGGTACATACGACGAGACGAAAGCAAGTTCGCCAGGCTTGGTGTTGGGCATGGTATAACAGCACGATGGCACGGATTCACGTTTGTTAGCATGCTGCATGGTATCGGCGTTTAGGAAATCAAAGCAGGGGAAGCATATTGGCTTGGGAAGGGCTCAACGGTCGGCCCTGTTGTATATTAGCGCCGTAGTTGGCGCCGCGGCAGTGACTCGGTAAATAGCTGGTCATGAAAAGTAATGCATCACCTAACCTTGCGGGCTTAACTTTGAGCGACCAGCTGGCGTAAGAGACAATGGAGGTGAGGGAGAGTATGAGCGGGCGAAGCTACCAACTCCCGCCAGCCTGGTGAAGCTGTGTGTAGACGTCAAATTTCCAACGAGTATGTTGAGTGGTATTGAAGCAGTCAACAGATGGACACCACAGTATCGTAAAAACAATAAAACGTGTTGGAGCTATGGTCGAGGACGCGACGGTTCTGGCATTGGTTTACGCGTTTACCTTCTGCCATCGACCCTTGCTTCCAACTCCCAACACGTACCTCTTTGACACTGATTGAACTGGAAAAGTCGAGCGAAGCTGTTCTGCACCAGCGGTGGAACTCGGATCCGAGTTCATCTCGTCACACCAGATAACAGCTACTAATCAACTCAACTGAGCAACCTCTCACCCGTCCAGCCATGATACCATTGCCCACGAATCAAGTAGAGTCAAACCCTGCACCTTGCCACGTGGGCATAGATCGGATCGAGGTGTTCGAGGCCAAATAAGGCCATCGACGCCGTCGTCCTCTGGGCCCATGAGCAGTCTAGTCAGACTGGCCGCTACCCAAAGTGTAATGAAGATGGACAGATTGGTGGGAGGCCGGAAGCAGATTCGAGACTCTCCAGAATCCGAATCGGCAGACGAAAGGTGATCTGTGGGACTGGCCCACTTGCATGAACTCCCGCCAGTGGGGAATGGCATTAGTCAACCAATCAAAATTCGGGTACCAGTCAGCGGAATAGCGAAGCGGGCGCCGGCAGACCAGAAGATGCGGGAAGGGAGCGCCTGCCTGACGCGTGACAGCAAGAGAGACGGGGTCTCTAGTTGGAAAGGGAGCTCGGACCAGTCACAATTCACCCGCACTTGCCAAGTTTGTCTGTGACTCTGTTTTGGGCAACCAACACACACCCCTGCTCCCAAAGGCTCTTGCTGTTTGGCTGGCTCCGTAATTCTTTCCTCCAGTCTGACTAGAAAAAAGACCGTGCACGCACCACCCCCCCACCCAGTAGTAATTCGGACAGAAAGCACGCCTGCTCGCTCTCCAAAACAGCGCTCTTTGCAACGGAGAAGCGACTTGCCAAATGCCCGGCAGAAAATAGGGACCTTACCGTTTCGCTATTTTTCGAGAAATCAAGGCACTCGCCAAATCGGGACTAGCCTACTGATCCGACCTTCTAGGCTGCACCACACAATCAGTAACCATCCCCCGGACTTGCAGCACCGCCTTATTTATTTCTTCCCCCCTCTTACTCTTCTCTTCTCCCCATTCCCACTCTTCCCTTTTCCCACACCCAAGCAAACGTATTCATCACCAACTCTTCAAAACAAACGTCATCAAAGACGCGCCCATCCCCATCCACTTAAACACCCACTTCTAACCTTATCACAATGACTGGACGTAAGTGCTACTTCAATTTTTTACACTGTCTTCCCTAGTTGTCACGGTTATGCCGGCGCGTCTGGATCGTGGTGGCGACCCCGCGGTTTAATGGACGAGGGTCATTCGGCATGCGTCTTCTGTTTTCAGAACGCGTCTCGCTGGCCCGCGTCTCATCAACCACATCGCGTCACATCCATAGCGTGACATCAACGCAACAACTCCTTGTCTCTTTCGTTTTCATTATACTAACGTCCTCCAGGCGGCAAGGGCGGCAAGGGCCTCGGAAAGGGTGGTGCCAAGCGTCACCGCAAGATTTTGCGTGACAACATCCAGGGTATTACCAAGCCCGCTATCCGTCGTCTCGCTCGTCGTGGTGGTGTCAAGCGTATTTCTGCCAGTAAGTTGCATCTACCTCGCTGTTGCTTCTACCAGGATGCTAACATGCTCTCCCTTCAGTGATCTACGAGGAGACCCGTGGTGTCCTCAAGTCCTTCCTTGAGGGTGTCATCCGTGACGCCGTCACCTACACTGAGCACGCCAAGCGCAAGACCGTCACCTCTCTGGACGTTGTCTACGCCCTCAAGCGCCAGGGCCGCACCCTGTACGGTTTCGGTGGTTAAGCGTGTCGCTCGCTCGCTTTCGATACCGCTTTGGGCTTTTGCTTTCGCTCTGTTTGGATTCCATGGCGCCGTGGCATCTAGACTATCAATAGCGGATCCCTTTGCGGTGGGTGATGGTTTATTGGTCTTTTCTCAACCGGTAATGGGGATATGGATACAATCACGTTGATTTACGGCGTTGGGGATCACGAGACTCAGGGAATGATACTACTCTCACGGCGTCGATAGGCAGACGCTTGTCTGCAATGGAACACCGAAATGGTGACTTGAACATACCAAACTTGGCCTTTAGTTGCAATGTGCTTGAGTCGTGACACGTCTTGATCACGTTTTATGAATGACCCCATAATGAATAATGCATCCTGTCCAAGGCCAATGCCACTTGTTCCTCGCGAGCTGCATGTTGTATGTCTCCATCCACTACAGGTATTTCCTCCCCGCCGCTGCCACCCGTGACCGGAATACAGGGCTCTTGATCTCCATATTAACCTTGTAGAACGGGCTCATCATGGCCTTGAGCCAGTTCTCGTACACCTCCTGGAAGAAGTTCTTGATGGCCTCCTCCGTTGCGGGACTCGTGGGGTTGGCGCCGATGGCTGTGGAGGACCGAGACGAAGCCGTGCTCGACGGCGCCGAAGGCTGGTGCAGGAGGAGAAACTTTACGTTGCCGGCCGTAACGAAGCACGAAACGTAGTTGTTGAAGAACTTGTCGACGATCTTGAGGTACCTATCAATCGTGACGCTTCGCATTAGCATGTGTATCTGGCGCAAAGGACGGGTCCATCTGTGAATCCGTGATGAAAGCTACTAGGAACGAAGCTACGTAGAGCCCGGTGATATCCAACAGAAGGTAGAAAAGGGGGTGGACAAAATGAGGAGAGTTGATTACATCTGTCCTTGCGCCCACTGCACCTCCTCGACAATGTCCAAGCTGCTGTGCAGGATGAACTGGTTCAAATGGCGGATCTGCTCGTTGAAGCGCGACTGGCCGTCGCCCCCTTGCTTGGAGGTGCCGAACTCATACTCGAAGAGAGGGTTGTCCTGCGTGCCGACGATGGCGAAGTAGTACGACATGGTTTCCCCTCTTCACCGGCGCGACATGTGCAGGCGTGTGTGGGTGTCGGTCGGAGATGGTGGTGATGGTGGATGCGCTCGCTCACTGTTCGGGAGGACGAATGGCTCTTCGATGTATGTTGATACGGGGGTGACAAGGCGCAGGGTATCGTCCAGAGGCCGTCGCAGGGCTTGGTGTCGTGTGCGGGCGTCGGGGATGGGGGGTATCTTTTTTGAGAATCGCCGGGCTGGTTGGATTGAAGCTCTCACGGTTGCGCCTCTCACCGAGTTCCCGCTGGAGCAGCCAGCCAGCCAGCCAGCGACAGACAGACAGACAACGGTGCAGGTCCCGCGGGGCGGACGGACGGGCTGCAGGGCGGTGGGGACCTTGCCGGGTGTGCTCAGCGCAAGCGCGGCCGCAAAGTGTCAGGGTGTACTGTACAGAGAGGCACACGCCTGGGAAATTCCGGCGCACGCTGGTGCTCTGGCGCCGTCCAATGGACTGGCGCCCCACTTTTCACCGCAGCTCCAAAATTTCCCAAGGAGAGTCGAACGTTTGTAGACGATTAAGGAATCGAGCTCCTGCGCATCACACACCCTTCCTCCTCCGACGAACGACGAACGACGACAGCACGGCCGCCAAGGGAATTACTGAAAGCTCCCCCCCTTTACCAATCAGCGAACCACCGAAACGGCCCGGCCCAGCGGTCTCTGTCCCTCGAATCCCTCCGCGAATCCCGGTCGTCGCGAGCCCTCGTGCCCCCCCAAAGAAACACCAGACACAATGTTCGGAGCCTTCCGCATGACCTCGCCGCTCTCGAGCGGCCTGCTTTGGAAGATCCCCTGGCGGCTGTCCAAGTTCCAGAAGCGGCGCCACCGCCAGCGCCTCCGGGCCGTCGACGACGTGGTCGCGACGGTGGACGCGGCGCTCGCCAAGAAGGGCGAGACGGTCGCCGCGCTGGAGCGGTGGAAGGCCGAGATGCCGACCGAGGCGGAGATGCTGCCGCGGGACAAGTACACCATGTTTGACCGCAAGGAGAAGAAGTACCGCAAGGGTATTCATAGTATGTTTCCCTTTTCCCCTGCCCCCCCTCCCCTGGGGCCTTTTGGACTCTTTGCGTCTTTCCACTTGGAGAAGCGAAGCAGGGTGAGGGATGGGATGGAGTTTGGCTGACGATGTATGTGCAGAGCTGCCCAAGTGGACAAGAGTTTCGCAGAGACTGAACCCGCCCGGTTACTAAACGACCTTATTTCGAGGATGTCGATGGGGTTTTTGGGTCGGATGAGCCCGCGAGGGGGAATAGAAAGCAGCCAGTCATGTCGGAGGAAGACGATTGGAGAACCAGATCCGTGTACGAATATGTACTCTACGCAACTCGAACCTCTGTGGGAAAGGATGCTCCCGTCAGGAATGCCTTTGACAAGAGCAGCAATCCGAGACACCGCAGAGCTCCCTGTATATTACGCACCTGCATGGGTTTAGGAGGAAACACAACCCATTATACAGCTGCACAGAATCACGAGTGTTCGTTTGAAAGCACAGCAAGCTCCAATCCCGCACCGAGGTGAATCTTGAAAAAAAGTCCTTAACCGTGTTGTAATGGAGGGTATCGCATCCCAAAAGCCTGCCTAGGTTGCAAAAGCATCGTTTCCCACCGCCCGAAAAAAGTGTTACACGCAACCGTTTTGCTTTTGATCTTGTCCTCTGTTTTTCGTGAACATTCCGTTGCTTCTTGGACGTCCCCCTGAGCATTGTCCCGCTTAGCCTGTCGAATCCACGCCTGCTCATCGCGTCTCTTCATAATCACCCATCCGGTCATCCCGATCCCTCTGCATCTGGATGGCCCTGCCCAGCCCGCCGCGTCCCTCGTCATAGTCCTCGCGGTACTCGTCGCGCACCTGTCCTCCGCTCTTGCCGCGGCCGTACTGTCGTCCCTCCTCGAAGCCGGGATCCAGATCGGTGCGGATGACGCGCTCGTCGAGCTTGGTGCCGCCAATGTACTTCATGCAGTCGAGAGCGTCCTGGTGAGTGTAGTATTCGACGAAACAGAAACCGCAGGGGTCTTGTTGAAGCGGTCGAGGCCCATGACGAGGCGCTTGATCTCGCCGCACTTTGAGAAGAGCTCGTAGACCTGCTCCTCAGTGGTGTAGAAGGAGAGGTTGCCGACGTAGAGGGTCGTGGCGTTCGCGAGGGGGTCCTCGGGGAGGGGCTCGTTCTTGGAGGCGGCTTCGTCTTCGGCGTCGCGGGCTTCGCGGGCTTCGCGGTGGTCGTTTCTTCTGCGCTTGTTCTGGGAGGCCAAGGAGTTAGTACTTTGATGATACCCTCTCGAGGTGGAAAAACACAGCTGCAATGCCATCTGGGAGCTGAGGAAGTACCCTGTTGTGGTAGTATGCGCTCGGTCTGTCGAGACGCTCGACTGTGTTTCTGTGGCGGACCTGCATCTTGGACGACTATAAGGGGCACAAGGCTTTACGGTTGGAGGTCAATTGGTTCGTGATCGGTGGTGTAAGTGGACTGAAGTTGGCAGTCGGTCTAGAAGAAGACGCGGCGACTGTTAGAGTAAGGTTGGCCCGTGTAAAAGGTCGAGGAAGGTAAAGGCAAGTAGGTACCAAGGTACCTCAGGCAGGTGTAGCTCGCAGGCTTTCTCCTGGGGGTCGCAAAACCCAGCTCAGTAGTCGGTGCACGGACCCCCTTCCATCTTTATTCCCTTGGAGCATTGCGATCATCAGACTCGGCTTCAATTCAGGCTTCGCATTCCTGGCGGCGACGATGCAAGACTCGGTTCGAAACATCGGGTCGAAACAAAAGCATATCAATCGTTCCTATTTCAGCATATCGGTGCATAGACTATACATGAAATTCGAACTCGTCAACTGAGGCTTGCCAAGCTACCTTACCACTGGGCATGTCCATGTGTATCTGGCTCGAATACAAATTGAGCGGGGCAGAGGTGAGAAGAGACAAGCTCGGTCAAGACGTGAAGATGTCTCTAGTTTTCGACGAGTTGAATCATTTTTATCGTCAAGTTTATCTGTAAAATGCCCGTCAGCACCGAAGCACCGCGATCTTAGGTGCTCTCCCAATCCTAGCAAATGAATGAAGGAATGCGTTCATAGCAGGGTATAGAAAGCCTATAATGCTCATAAGACTCATCCACGTCCATGAAACTCAGTAGCTTCCAGTGTCAACATCCAAAGTCGTAGGCCGGTCTTCTCTCTCATAAATCAAGCATGGAACAGATTGCCGCCGTGTACCACATCGGCCACTTTTTGAGATTATGCCGAACAGCTGGAGTAACTCCGCCCCGGTGACCGTTCGAAGTTACAAAGAGGATACCACATTCCAGCCATGTAGGAGTTCTCAACGCGTGGCAACTAGCAAAAGTATAGCAGTGGCTCTCGGCACCTTCAATGTGAGAAAGGTGATGTGCAAGTAGAGCTTTCGGTAAATGCCTCTTTCGGAATGAGTGCGTGTGGAATTTCCTAATGCCTTTCGCGCGCAAAACAACAAATGGGTCTACGAATCCTATAGCGAAGTGTTGGCGCTGGCTTGCAGGCTTCCAGCACGGACGACTTACACAGCTTGTTTGGCTCTTCTGATTGGCGCTCTGTCCGGAAGCTTGGGGCGGGTCTCGGTGTGGCTGGCTGCTAGCAGCAACCGCGTTTTTTGACCGGGAACAATTCTGGCAACCATCTGTCTGGCAAACACCACCGGAAAAAATCCACGAACAACTCTCGAGCTCGGTTGCAACTGCGGAACACCTCTTACACCGCGATAACTTACAGATATATCCCAACGACACATCCTTCCGGCCAGACAGGGACGCAATGCCCAAGGTCAAGAGCTACTCAGCTCCGTGGCTGTCCCATGGACCCGGCCATAACTTGTTCGCGCCCTCGAGCGACGCTGCCTCCAAGGCGTTGAGCGCGCCGTCGCCCTACACATCCAAGAAGAAGAAGGCTCCTGGACCGAGACGAACGATTGCGAGACGAGGCACCGAGGTGTTTGTCGCTGTGGGCAAGGAATTGCGATGGGGCGACCTAGCATACCTGAAAGACAAATGGTCGACGAAGTATGCGCACCGTCGCATGGGCAGCCGCGTCAAGTGGGAAGACTCGGCGCAGGCGTTCGACGACGAAGCGATTCCCTCGACGGAGGAGGCGGCTACGGCTCAGGGCTTCCGGGTATGGGCTAGACTCAAGACTCAACAGGCTTGGAGACGGCGATCACTGACAGCTTTTACAGACCATCAAAATCCCCGTTGCGGACGACATTCGTCAGCTCGTCATCTCCCCTAACTCCGACTTCCTTGCGATTTTGACAACGCACACCGTTCATATCTGCGTTGTTCCCGACTCCTCCCATCTCACAGCTGAGGACACCGGGCCCCTGCGACCCAAGATCTGGACGCTGGGACCTACGACCCACGTCACTTCGCGATCCTCCGTCGCCTCGGCTGTCTGGCACCCTCTCGGAGTCAAGGGCTCTTGTCTGGTCACCGTCACGACTGATGCTATCGTGCGGGTATGGGAACTGTCTCTTACGGATCGGTGGTCGTTCGACTCTCCTACACTTTCAATCGACCTCAAGAAACTGGTGGACGGCACGACCCTGGACCAAGACTTCACAGCATCAACAGCTGCTACAAATGCTAGCTTCTCGCAGTATTCGCTGGAGATGCAGGTCGCCTCGGCGTGTTTTGCTAGTCGCGGCTCCGGTGGATGGAGTCCCATGACTCTCTGGGTCGCCATGAGAGAAGGCGATGTCTACGCGCTAAGTCCTTTGCTGCCCCAAAAGTGGGCGCCGCCTCCGACCTTGATCCCCTCGCTATCTGTTTCCATCGTCTCCAAGGTGGCTGCCTTGGAGGATGACCCTGCCGTGTCTGAAAAAGATAAACTCCTCGCTCAGCAACAGCTCGAGTGGATGGGCGATTTGGATTCCCAAGAGCCTCAGGTCCTCGACACAGCGCCGGGCGAGGAAACCGTTGAGGTCTACACACGCCCGTCCCGGCCGGGTGTCATCCCAAGGCTCCAGGGCCCGTTTGAATTTGACGCCGATCCCGAAAGCGAGGACGCCGGGGATGGTCTGCTGACGGACATCCTTGTGATTGGGAAGAAGGTTGATACCGACGACCTGATGATGGGTGAGGACGAAGACCTTGACTTCGACGACGGTGATCAGGAGGGCCTTTCGCTATCGGTCATCTGCCTGCTGTCCACCACTGGCCAGGTCCGCGTCTACCTGGACTTGGAGGGCGTCGAAGCACAATGGCTCCCGCCTCGAAACAAATCCAAGCTCGGACGTCTCTTGTCCGCTGCCGACCCACCCTCTCTGTTGGCGTTCCAGTGCATCGACACCATGACGGGGAGTGAAATGAACGACGACGCGTGGCCAACTTTTTCTTCGGATGTCATGTCACGCTACTCGCTTTTTGTCACTTCTTACGTCGGCATCACTTTTCTCTCCTTTTCTCCCTGGGTCTTCCGCCTTGAGGGGGAGCTCTCGGGAGAGTCAGAGGCTGGCTCTGACTTCCGTCTCGGTCTCCTTGTCAATGGGCAGAACTCTATCAGAGAACGACTGTACACCCATTCTTCGTCCGACGTCAATGTGCCGCTCGCCGCATCCGTCGCCATCCGCGACCCGGACTTGGGATACTTCCTGCTTTCGGCCACTCCGTACGAACCGATCGCCTTGACGTTCGACACGCCCGAGGACGAATTTTCGCCTATCCGCCATGAAACACCGTTTGAAGAGAAACCCGCTACTATGGAGCCCCTGGACTTTTACGAACCTCGCCCAACTTTCCAGCCGTCGCACGCTTTCGAGCAGCAATCCGACCTCCCTGAGCTGATCAACAGACTCCGCAGCTCTCGCCACAAAACCATCTTGAACCAGGAAATTCGGTTGTCGCCAGTCACACTCCAGATTCTCACAGATGCCCACCGCATCCTGGGAGAGGATACATACCGCCTTGGTACGGCCGTGGCAGAAATCTTCCGCCGCTGCGCTACTCTCCAAGATGAGCTGAAGGACCAAATCAAGAAAGCGAACGAGGTTAAAGAAAAGATCGATAAGATTGCGGGCAACGACAAGGATGGGGAGGGCGAAAGTGACGATGTCAGATTCGAAAGGCGCATTGCTGAGGCGCAAGCGCGCCAAAAGCGGCTCAACGAGAGGCTGGAAGGCGTCCGCAAGTATGTTGGCAAGGCTGCGACCAGGGAGCTCAGTGCGAAGGAAAAGGCTTTTGTGGAGGAGGTCAGGAGCATGGAGGCCAGCGTGCTGGGATTATCCTCAGAAGACAGTCCGGGAGCAAGACAGCAGAAGCAGCTGAGGAAACGTTTGGAGGATGTGCAACGACTTCGGGACGAATTGTTGGGAGAAGTGGAACGGATACAGAAACAAAGCGAGGGCAAGGACGGGAAGGATTCGTCGTCGTCGTCGACGGTATCGGATCTCAAGATCCCGACAGAGATCCGCAAGGCCAAGTTGCAGCAAGTCATGTCTCTCCTCTCGCGCGAGACGGCCCTCGTTGAGGCTGTCAGCTCGCGGCTGGAGCGTCTTCAGACGTAGGAGCGTGGGACTGTGGCAGATAGAGTTGGATGACAAGCACCATGTGGTTACTACATTTAGCCTCGTCTCAGTTGGTGCCCAAGAGCGACATGGAGGAGTTGGTCACATTGGCGGTTGAACCATGGAAGCACGGAGCAAGTATATGTGAAGGGTCAGATGCACAGTCGCCTCGAGAACAGGTACAGGGCAACATGAAGACAATGGAGTACCACGCACGATTGTTTCGGATGCTGAACGCACAACCATACCATGAATCGACGCTGGATCGAAGCGACGGCACCGTCTGACTCGGGAAACGATCTTCCTGAGGCCATCTAGTGCCCGTCTATAGTGTCTTGGTTCTACAGTTGACGCAAGGAAGATGCCGGGTCGACTGGGATTGATAATCACCATAGCCTTGAATTGCCATGAAGTTACGGGTCATCAGTATTGTCCAGATGGCTGACTGGAGCGGTAGGATCAGCGCAGCTCGGCCAAGATTTCGAGCTGGATCGTCAAAGTCGACACCAATCAAATCACCGCCACCAGCCTCACTTCCTCTCCTGCCTACCCATTAGATGATCTAGATTGGCTGCGTCTGCACGATTAGTGCCCAGTATCACCGATTTATGCCCAACGGCCTTGATTGGGAGACGCTGCTAGCTGGGCTCGCTTGGGTACGAGATACAAGAAAGCGCCTCGTGTACCAGAAAACGGGTCCCAGGACCGTGTGCTTCGGACATCATGGCCTTCAGTAACACCCGACGGTTGAGCACGTCACGGTCTCCCCTCTTGGGTGAAGCTTGCGGGCAGCGTTGGCTTTCGGACTTTTGCCTGAAAAGAAAGCGTGGCATGTTGCTTCTCCCGTTTTCCACGCTGCAGGAGGTGCAGCGTGCTTCGTCGTCTATGCCCGTACCTGATGGGGCACCTTTTACCTGGCCCCTCCCATCTCACAGACCGCTCTTCTCTGGCCCTACGAGCAATTGATTTGTGTTGCATGGTCCAACGGTTCGCTGCATGGGTGGGATAGGGACGTCTTTTTGACAGGCATCATCCACTCCGCAAAACCATTTTCAGCGCCCAGTCCAGACTTTGGACGAAGCCGGGAGACAGCGGTGGGCAGATGCGTCGGATATTGTTCAGCTTTTTTTTACGCTTTCTTGTTTCGTTTCCTTCTCCAGCTCTGTGCGACGGTTGCTCATCTTTGTGCTGCGAACTCACGGTGCCTTGCCGCGCTTCCACCTCCCCCTTTGCAACAAATCCGAGCGTTATTCGCTTTTCTGTCTCAGATCGATCTTTTTGTGTTCTAGACATGTCTTCTCGCTATGGGACTGCAGGTATGCCAGACCAGCAATGCCTGCGCAACGGCCCAACGATGACGACAGGAGAGCTGCTGGAAAATGGAGCTGGAGCAACAGATAGGGCGGACGAGAGCAATGCAACTCCCAAGTCGGTCGTCGTTGCCGGAGCGCGTTGTGTCAAGGGTAGCAAGAGGCTCGCGAGCCGGCCACGATGAATCATCGCCGCGTGTCCAGGCTTTGTGCGAGACACAAGACACTGATTGGAATTCTTCGTCATTTGGTCGCTGGCGCTACTCGTGCCAGCAACACGTTTTGTGAAAACCCGACCAGCTGGCTTATTTATATCCTATGCCTCGAGCTGGGCGCGGATGACTGTCGTCTAGCCAACCTGTCCGTCCTCGTGGTCCTTTACACCACGGAGGCATGCAATGAGCCGCATCGGCGAGGAGGAGAGGCACCAAAGTGCACATCGCGCCTTGCAGGACGCGCCTAGGGACCAGCCACATCAAGTTGACCGGCCATCATCTGCCGGCAGAATATGCAGGGAGGCCCAGGGGACACGGAATGGTCAGCTATAAGGTAAATATTACAAGTTGACTTAATGCTAAAACAAGGCATATAGCACCTATGTTTATCTTATTGGTCTCGGCTTTAGTAAATCCATACCTGCTTACTGCTAGACGTTAAATCTGCCCCCTTCTAACCAGACGCTTAGCCGTTTTTAATATTACTAGTACACTCCTAAAAGAGGTCTTGACTGTACAGGTATGTTGCTTTTCTTTTTCTCTGACCCCCCATTCTTTCCTAGTAGCCGCTTGCTTTCCGATGACAAGGTATTTCATGCATGAGCATGTCACCCCGAAGATCAGATACTAATTGACTGTGCAAGGGGCGTGAGAAGCTGAAGCTCCCCTGCTATGCTCGGCCTTGAATTTAGTGTACGCACCTTTCCCTTTCCTTCCGTCTTCCTTGCTTCCCGGACAATTCGGTGCATCCAATCTAAGACCAGCATACTTTGGCCCCGTTCGTCGTCAATGTCCCGCCTTCGTTTCGCCTCACTTTCCCAACTCTCTTTGCTGCCGTTCCAGAGCACCGTTTCTATTAGGTTACCCAACCGCAACGGTTTGGCCGAAATGTGCCAAGCAGGCTGTAAGGCCCTCTTGCATACCACATGTTCAACGTTCCCCTATGGGACGACGACGACCTAGAGTGATGTTGCCGCAAGTATATAAGGAGTATTCTTGGCCTCGCGGTTCTAAGCCTCACGTCTTCTTCAACTTTTCCAGCTCCTAAGCCTCGTCTTGTTCCTTGCACATGTTCGTTTTGTTGAACGATATTCGTGAAGCCGCACCACTGTCAAGACGCCCCGTACCAACGACAATGGCCCCCAATCCGTTATGTCTCGTATGGCGCGAGCAGATCATAGGTGAGATCCCTCTCCCCACTCCTGCTGCTGCGTGGCGTAGCAACTCGACGACGGCTTACACGGAAAATCTAGATAACCTCCGTCTGATCTCGGGCCGCAGTGCCACGGTCGACATCTACACTTCACGCCACCCTAACAAGTCGTACACCATCTACGCCGTCAAGGTCCACCGCGGCAAGCGTCAGGAGATTCTTTCAGCGACGGGCCGCGACCTCGAGGATGCCTTCGAGAACCTCCACACCAAGTCCTCGCAGGAGGTGTACCAGTTCATCGACGCCAACGGCTTCTCGTTCCCCCGCGGAGTGAAGACCGTCTCTGGCCACCGAGACGGCGAAGAGTCCGAATCCTCCGGCAGCGAGGCATCAACCGTCGACGCCTCAGACGTGCTGTCCCTGTCAGCCGTCTCTTCTGATAGTGAAGACGACAACGTTAGAAGGGGCAAGAAGACTAAATCTTCCTCTCGCCGCAAAAGCAAGCGCACGTCCAAGAAGAACTCCAAGAACCACGACTCTTCTTCGTCATCTGAGGAAGAAGAAGAAGAGGTAGAAAGTGACTCCGAGCCTGAAGTTTCTCCCCGGAGACGCCACGCTGCTGTTGCCCCTGTCACACGCCAGTCCTACATCCCTGCGCCGCCTGTCGCAGTCTCGCAACCTCCTCCTCCTCCTCCGGGCTGGAGAGGCCCGCCAACGCGCGTGCATCCCCGCGCACCCGCGGCTGGGTCGCCGCCGCCGCCCCCACTGCCTAGCTTCCCACCCGGCATGCGCCCACCTCACCACCAAGGCCTTTCTGCACCCGCCGTCCCAGGCGTTTCCTCGGCGCCTTTCAAGCCCGTCCGCCTCATAATCAAGTGGCGCGGCCATGGCGAGAAGAAAGTCATCGAGCACTGCACGCCGAGCCAACGTGCGCTGCAGCGGACGGCGCTCGCCCATGTGCGGTCGCACTGGCAGACGTTTGAGAACGTGCTCCCGCAGGAGATGACTCCCGGCCGGCTGTGGGGGTTGGGCGCTAAGGTGAGGCGCGTGGCGCTGGGCAAGGACATGTACGCCATCTCAGCGGCGGGAGGGGACGATTTGGCCATGTACTTCAAAGCCGAGGATATCCCCAAGTTTGAGATCGAGGTCGATCACGATGGGAGCATCATGCCGCCTCCGCCGCCGCCGCAGCCTCACTCACAGCATTAGTTTCTGACAAAGGGGGGGGGTTTGACGGAGGAGCGGTGTGTGGTGTGACGACTTGGCCAGAAACCCTGGTGCCCCTTTGCTTTCCGGAGGCGAACTAGGCGCTGCGTGTGATTCTTGTACGCGTTCATGCATTTCCTGCAAGAATTTTGTTTTTGTGGTCACTCATCTGCATGGGGAGCTAGGTTCACAAAATTGAAGTTTAGGATATGGTGGGAGCGATGCAGGAAGCAAGCATTGGTTTTTCTTTTTCCGGGTACGGTTATCGGTCATCTTTTGGGTCTAGATAGAGGGCTACGAACAAGGCGTGGGCGTAAGCTCGTTGTAGAAGAGGCAAGCTACGAAGCGAATGTCACCATTACGCCTCGTTCAAATTCTTCCTGGAGCCTCTGTTGATTTTGTGTTGAAATATCGTCAACTATCATTCACAGCCTCATTGATAGGAAAAGTACGTATCCCAGCACAAAGTTGTGATAATCAACATGGGATTGTGCAACATATGACCGTTTTCTATACCGTACATCTGTAATGCATAGGGACAATCATGTCACGGACACATCAAGGGTGAATGGCTACAGGGGGGGCACAATGATAATACCAAGGCGACGTCCGATAGTGCCATGCGAAGTCCGGTCCGGGACCGGGGTGGAGACGGGCCGGAGGTGGGGGGTTGGGTTGGGTGGGTGTGGGTCGCCTGCAGCCTTGCATTGTCACCCCACGCGGCGGCAGGCGCCCTCTTGACAAATGTAGGGCGGGCAGGTATTGCAAAAGCCAAGGATAACGAAACCCCGGAGGGAGAGGTTAGACGAACAATAATTACCAGGTGGCGCTGCTACTAGGTCGTTTTGTCTTAGAGCCGGTGTAGAAAGGGGGCTCGATGGGGGTTTGGCGGATGTTTCGGTGTGACGGTTAGAGATATTTATGTACCAGTAAATGATGGCGTCGGTAATTATTGCGCCTGCTAGTATTTATGCCGCGCTTATGTTTGTTACTTGGGGCGGTTCTGTATGATAAGGGAAAAAACAAGATAGCAAACACAAGTTCGGTATAGATTGTGTGACATGTCCAAATTAGCGCATCTTTTTGTGTATAACGTCGTGATGACTTAGAGCCTGATCAATGACTGCGTTATAAGTGCAGTAACGGCCGTACCATAGTAAAAAATACCTCAGGTTGAAATTAAGTAGAGTTTCCTGTATTATTAAGGCTTAAATTAAGTAATGTATTACCGTTATCCCTATAAAGGTTATTATTCTTACTACTTTCCCTTTTTTTTAGGCTAAATAAGCTTTATTTCTCTTTACTTTTATTTATATTATTATTTTTTATTAAATTATTATAAATAATTATTATAATTACTTATACTTTTATAATAAGTAACTAGTAAAATAAAAAAAGGCTTTTTATTAATATAAAAGGCTTTATTATTATTTAACTAATTACTTTAGCTTTTATTACTAATAAATAAAAAAACCTATTATATTAATTAAAAAAAAAGCTAATAAAAAAGTAATAGCTTAATAAAAAGGTTACTTAAGACATTACTAAAGTCTATAATAAAGATAATAATAAAAAATATAATAAAGTTAATAATAAATCTTTAAGTAGTATATTACTTTTTTTTAAAGATTTATTTAATTAATAAATACTAATATACTTTTATACTATTTAGACTTTAAAGTTTACTTATTACTTTATAAAAAAGCTTTTTAATTTATACTATAATAAAAACCTTAATATTAATAAAACTATTATAAGAAAGCTAGTTTTTAAAGATCTTATAATATAAATTAATATTAAGGGCTAATTTACTAGTCTTATAACTAATAAGTAAATAAAAAATAAGTATAATAGTAAAAAAAAGAGGTTTTTTATTTAGATATTTATTATTTATAAGTTAAGTAATATGTTTAATAAAGATAATAAAAAGGTCTTTTATAGTAATAAAGTAAAAGAGAACTTTTTAATTATTTACTTAAAGTATAAGTAGGTTTTTAAAAAAGGGTTAAGACTACTAGATCTATATAAAGAGATATAAGGTATAAATACTAGGAAAAATAATACTATATTATTAGTTAATAAGGTTATATATAGCTAAGAGACTAACTCTAAGGTAAATAAGAATAAAAAAGATAATAGAAATAATAATAATAACTTAAGAAATATATAAAAAAGTTAATCTCTTTATATACTATTATAATTATTTATATTATTTCTTAGTACTTTTATATTTTTATAAAACTAGTAATTTAATAGATAATTCTAATAATAGTATATTTTTATTAATAATAATAAGTTATTAAAAAAAAGACTTACTACTACTAAAGCTAATACTTATATTAATAAATTAATATAAGAACTTAAAAATAAATACTTTAGTAATAAGAAAAAGGTATTAAAGTTAAAGCTATAAAAAAAAAAAAAAGAAAAAAAGTAACTATTATAAAAAAAAGCTAAGGTTAATAAGGTAATAAAAGACCTTATAAAGTTTAAAAAAGATCTTAATTATAACGTTTATTTAGTTATTTTAAACTAATTAATAATAAGAGAAAAAAAACTAATAGTTTTAAAAGTAAAGTATTAGAATTTATTATTAAGTAATAAGTTAAAGAAGATATATTATATAAAGGTTTATAAGTAAAAAGTTAAGTACTAATAATAAGATCTTTTTATTTATAGTAATTCTTTATAGTAATCCTTAGTATTAGCCTACTTATAGAAATGTTTCTTAAATAGTATTCTTATTTTCTCTTATAGTATTTCTTTTAACTATTAAACTATAGTTTTTTTTCTGAAGCCTTATTAGACTATAGTTCTCTTTCTAAAGCCTTTTACAGTACTGCTTAAGTATAAGCTTTTATGTAGTAGTTAAGCTAGTTTTTCTTTTTCTTTTACTTAAACTAAAACTAGAACTAAATAGCTTTTATCTAAGAGACTAAAAGGACTTTAGAGGAGGTTAATAATAGTACTAGTCTTTACTTATTAGCTCTATAGTAAAAAGAATAGACTTAATATAATCTATATTTTTTTTTATAATAATAACTCTTTTAGTATAAATAGTAGTTAACTAAATAACTAAAAAGATATAAGTTAATTATTATAATAATTAATTATAGTAATTATATACCTTTAAATATAACTATAAAATAAGTCTTAGTAGCCTCTTAGAGTATAAAAATAATTACTTTTTAAAAATAAAGGTTATTTTATTAAGAAATATTATAAATAATCTCTTTATAAAAACGTTAAAAAAGTACCTTTACTATTAAAAGGTTAATTAACTTCTAATATTTATAGATTTTATAAAGAGTAATAGCTAAGAATAAATTAGTATTATAGTAATTACTTATAGTAATTAAGTAAATACTTACTATTAGCCTTTTAGTGTTTTTTTTTTAGAGGGGTAGCTATAACCTTCTTAAGCGTTTTTTTAATAGCCTTTTTAGTTAAAGGTTTTTTTACTAAAGCTTTAATAGTAAATGACTTTTTAGTACTATTCTTTTTTATAAAAGGCTTTTTAGTACCCTTTTTTAAAGAATACTTATAAAAAGCTTAGGCTATTAGTATTATAATAAGTCTAAATAGTTAATAATTTTTAAAAAGAATAAAATAAAATAAAAATTAACTTATAGAAGTTATTATTATTATTATTATTATTATTAAAAAAAAAAGTAAAATTAAAAAAAAAAAAATTAAATAAAAGAATATAAGTAAAGTAAATATAATTAATAGTTAAAAAAAATATAAAAAATAAAATAATTTATAGTTATTCTACTTATTATTTTTAACCTATTTTTACCTTTTTTTTTTTTTTAACTTTACTTTTTTTTTTTAATAATAATAATAATAACTCTAAAAAAAAATTAATTTAAAAGTAAAAAACTAATTATTTTATTTATTCTAAAAGTATTTTAACTTTTATTTAGTTTCTTATTTACTATTAAGAATATCTTCTTTTTAGCCTTTATAAGATCTATTTATATCTATTTATTTATAGTAATTAATTATAGTAACTTAACTAATATTTCTCTAGGCTACCTATTAAGCTTTAGTGCTAGTATAAAGTAAAAGGCTAATAATAGCTACTCTAAGAATATATATACTAAAAAAGCTTATAAGTATATTAAGGAAATAATAAAGAAAATAAAAGAGCTTAAGAGAACTAAAAAGTCCTTTATTACCTAGAAAAATTATAAGTTAACTACTCTTAAAAAGTCTTAGCTATATATTAATAGTATAGCTTTAGTTAAGGCTAATATAAAAGCTAAGGTAATTAATAACGTTACTACTATAGCATAAGTAACCTTCCTTTTATCTATTTTATACTTATTTTTAACCTTAAAAATAAATAAGTAAAGGGTAATTATCTAAGAATTATTATTATATAACTTGGTTTTTATTAGGCCTCTTTTAAGAGCTAAGCCTTTATTTAGGTTAATAATAATAATTAAGTTATTTAAAATAATAATAATAATAATAACTAAAAGAAAATTCTTTTTTTTAGCCTAGAAAAGTAAATAGAAAAAAAGCTAGCTAATCTTAAAGATTATTATAACTTTAAGGTTAGTTTTTTTTTTATTAAAAGTATTAATATTTAGTAAAAGATATAAGTACTTATTACTAAACATAAAAAAGTAAGTAATTACTATAAAAAATTACTATAAATCGCTAATAAAACTAGGATCTTATTTGCTAAGAGTACTATTATATAACTAACTACTAGTATATAGCTCTTAACTAGCTTTTTACTAAGGTTTATTACTTAAAGGTTTAACTTTTTATTTACTTTAAAGTTACTTTTAAAATAGGCTTTCTTTAGCTTAGTTAAAGTCTATTAGTTACTATAGATATTTTTATAAAAAAAGAATCTTTTTTTTAGTTAGTCTTAACTAAGTATTAGAAGGTCTTTACTTTTAAAGACTATAAGCTTTTAAAAATTATTTCTTATTTTTACTAGAAAAAAAAATAAATAAAATTAAAATTTTATAACTAATAAACTTTATTAATTAATTATTTTTTAAGTAATTTATTCTCTAATATTATTTTACTATAAGTTAATAGAATAAAAGTTTTTTTTATACTATTTAATATTACTATTTAACTTAAGACTTTAAGTTAACTATTAAGTAGTTAGTTAAAAAGGTAAGCTAATTACTATAACTAATTACTATAAATTACTAATATAAATATAAGTTTAAAGCTCTTTTACTTTATTTTCTTAAAAAAAGATTTTTTTTAGTCCTATAAAGATATAAAATAAAGTTACTTTTAACTTAGAGGTAACTATAAGATTTAGTTACTTAATAATAAAGGCTTTTAAGCCTCTATAAGAGGTTTTATTGCTTTATTTCTAGCTTTAGTTACTTATTAAGGTATACTTAACCTCTTAGAAAAAGGTTTTTAGTATAGCTTATAAGGCTATATAAGCTTATAACTTTAATTTTATTAAAGAGATAATAAAAGATATTTAAAGGGGAAAAGTATAAATTATAGTAATTAGTTATAGTAATTTCTATTTCTTTTATACTTATTACTATTCTTATATTATTTTAGTTATCTTTTTATAAATTTATCTTATACTTTAACCTAAATACTACCTATTAGCTTTTTTATTAACTTTATTTATATTAAACTAATTTTTTATATTACTATTATACCCCTTATTCTTAATATAATAAAATAAAAAATTATATAGGCCTATTACTATATAAATAATTTATACTTATATATTTAAGCTATACTTTAAGGCTAAAAAGGTAATTATTTTTTATTTTTATTTTAAATAACTAAATACCTACTTAATAATTATTTAAAGATAACTATATTAAAGATTATATAACTTTTAAGCTATTTCTAGTAGTTTATTTATATCCCTAAAATCTTATAAATAATAATAAGTTTTTAAATAAGGAATAATAATACTATTCTAAACACTAAACCTTATATCCCTTAAAAAATACTAACCTTTAAAGACTTTAAACCTTTTAATATTTATAAAATTAATTAAACTAGTATTATAAATTAACCTTTTAGCTTTAATAAGTATAAATAAAAAGCTATTATTAAAATAAATAATAATAAAGATATTTTAAAAAACTATTTTTTTTTAATTATACTATTTCCTTTAAATAGTAATAGAAATATATACACTAATAAATATACTATTAACTATTTTAATATAACTAGTAAAGTATTTACTTAGTTTTTTATTACTTTTAATTTCTTTTAAGACTTTAGTTTTTTTATAAAGAATAATATATACCTTATAAAGCTTTATAAAGTATAATAAAACTTTATTTTAGACTAGAGATATAGTTAATTAATTAATATAAAAAAAATAAATAATAGCTTATTAGCTAAAATTACTACTATAAGATAAAATAAATAAATAAATAAGTACTTTTTATTTAATAAAAAGGTTTTAAAATAACTATAAAAGTATATTATTTATAAGTTATTTTAATAATACTTAAAATTACTATTTATTAAAGTAAAAGAGGTATAAAAAATAATAATTTAAATTAAAAAAAAGCTTTTAATATATTTAGTATATAGTTATAATACTATTATTATTAATAACTTTTTTTTTATTTTTATTTTTATTAGCTTAATATTTTATTATAATAATATTAAATATAGCTATTATAATAAAATAATTAAATTTTATAATAAATTATTTATAATAATTAATTATAGTAATAAGTAATAAGAAAATAATTTTTAAAGTATAATAATAACTATAGTAATATTAATATAAGTTTTAAATATAATAAGAATTTATATAAAAAAATAAAAAATAACTAATAATTTATACTATATAAAGTCTTTTTTTATTAAGGTATATAATAAATATGTAATAACGTAAAGTTCTATAATCTAGAACTATAATTATGATATACCCTCTTATTTTAGGCCTAGTGCAACACAATTTGAGTTTAGAGGGTACTTGTGGCTAGTGTTATTACACATTTGAAATTCTTATTGCACATTTCAGTTCTTACCGCAGTCATCGATCACGCCCTTAGTTAACACTCAAAGCCAGAAGGCGTTGCAGTGAAATAGTAGTTCGTAATTCGCGTATGTGTATATATTCAAGATAGAGATGCGAAACAGGTCTCTCCAAGATGTGTAAGGTCGCCTGAAATGGGGCCTAGCAGACCCAGAAGGCTCATTTGTGGGATTGCGACTTCGTCCCTTGTATAGGTAGATAGTAGAGAAACTCGCACCGGACGCATCACGTGGTGTCAGCGCTAAGAATCTTCACCGCGAACAAACTCAAGCAACTGAGTTTATCGTGTCTAACAACGTCAAACATTAGTTGGTAGCATAAGGCTAAGATGGACATGCCTATCAATATTCATTGCATTGTCTGTCTTCAGATCAGATTAAGAGGATTTTCAACCCAGAAGCATTGTTATGAGTTGTTCACAATGCAAAAACTCATATCGACCCATTGATCACCAGTCGTTCAACGTGGAAGTGTGCTCGAGGGTATCCAGAAAGCTAAAGTATCGGGTGTAAACTAAAGACATTGTCGACATCTAAGAACATGTATGCTAAAACAGGTTGGCAGACACTGCTTTAGACCTGTGAGTCACTTGGCACTTTGGTCTGAGGCAACAGCGGATGATTTATAAAATGTTTGAGGTTAGTTTAGCACAAAAGAAAAACCCCCCCATACCACTATCAGACGGATAAAGCATCCTACACTCAATACGGATCGAGATAAACTTGGCTCGGGTCAAATCTATCTCTTGGAAAAATCTCGAACAAGCCTCTTTACCACGCTGATTCTTCTACAAACGATGTACGACCCCGTAATGCCGTGCTTCATTTACATTAACGGGTTCCCCGGTGTTGGCAAGCTTACTATAGCCAACGAGATCTCGAAGCTTGTCCAAGGAAGCAGGATGTTCCACAACCACCTGGTGATTGATCCCGTAGCTGCGGTGCTCGACCGAGGGTCTGAAGGGTATGAAGAGTTAAGGGCAGACTTCCGCAGACACGCTCTGCATGCTATCGCTACACACCCATATTTGAAAAACACAACCTTCGTCTTCACAGACTCGCGCGAATCAAGCGCTGCGGGATGTGCGGGAGTGAGAGATTATCAAAAAGCGGCCGACGTGAGGGGCGTGCCATTCATCTCGATCGTCCTGCATTGTGAATTCAAAGCTAACCTGCAAAGACTTGAGGGCAGAAGCCGTCGCGGCGAGAGTAGACAGAGCACAAAGTTGGTTGACGGAGAGGTTCTGCGCAGAATCCGGGAGGACGAGGAGATTTTCCGATGCGGAGGAGAGTTGGAGATGGAGCTTGACATCACAGACATGAGGCCAGACAAGGCCGCTTGGGTGATTTGGCAACATGTAAATACGGTAAACAGCGGGAAGAGAGGGTAACTATTGGTTTATAGTTGTCACGCGACTTCTTGATATCGTAGCATCCACCTAGAATACAAAAGATCTTCTTCCTGAACACAATTAGGCCGAACTACCTTGAAAGACGTGGGCCACCCAGAAATCAGCCTAGTCTATCCGTCCCGTACTCCAGATATTCAAGCCGACCTTGACGCCTTTCTTGACGGGCAAACCCGCATGCCACGTCTCATCATACCCAGCACCACTCCCATCGGCGCGAAAATTCTCCCAAAAGACCGCATTTCCGGGGATTGCCTTGAACACAACTCCATTCTCCTCGTCATCGCCCTCACCCATTTCCTGCCTGTCATCCCTTTCTTCTCTCTTCTCACCGCATTCAACAAACCGGCACCACCTTTCCTTGACACCCGGGACTCTCAATAACGGAAACTCCGTCCCACCACCGACGAGGCCATCGCCCTCACCCTCTCCAGGCGTCTCATTCTCGTCGCGTGCGTCGACCCAGACCATCATGCTGCTCACTCTCCCCCATCCACCACGGTTCGCGCTCCAGTCAAAGTGGTACGAGTAGTGTCCACCCTCAACGTAGCGCTGCGTACGCAACCTCTCGACCCAGAGCTCCTCGCGCCAGCCCTGCAGCGCGCGGGCGCGGGCCTCGATGCAGCGGACGACGTCGGTGCGTGGGACCATGGCGACCTCGGACTCGCGGATCGAGGTGTCGCGCTGGACACCAGCGCCGTCGTGAGTAATTGTTGCAGGTTCGAAGAGGGGTTGGCTGGAAGGTTTGTGAGCATGTAGCGATATCACTTGCGAATACGAACGCAAAGGTGTCGTAACATGACAACAAATTGGAAAAGGAGCCATTATTGAGGCCGGGTTTAAGAATGAAAGTGAAAATGCGCCTCCATACCTAATCTCGAGCAAATGCGCCCTTTCCTCGGAGCTAAGAAATCCCTCGATGTACAACACCAGCGGCTCTTTGGAGAAGATGCGCACCGAGTACGTATCGGACGGGCACGAAAGCGCCGTGGCGTTGAGGTACTCGATGGCGAGGAGCGACTCGTTCATCTGCGGCCGGGGCGTCCGGATCATCCGGCCTCGGCCACCAGGCCCGGACGGAGAGAAGAGCCGGGTGATGGGATCGGCGAAGAAGACGAGGACCGCCACAAGGCCGATGACGTAGGAGATCATGGCTGGGGCTGAGCCTTCATGGGAAAGGACTGACAGTACTTGAAGAAAAAAAACACAGAACAACTCGGACCGAGTTTCAGTGAAGAAGAAAATCCACTAGCAAGACGTTTAAGATGATTAGGCGACGTTCACCTAGAAGTCTTCCCCGCCGCCGCGCCAGTTTGTTGGTAGCTCCGCCACATCCGCGCCGTGCAAAGCCGCAGCACACTGTGCGTCGAACTTAGAACCTGGGAAATGCAAGATGAGCCTCATTTCATATTCAACTAGTATAGGCAGTTTGTCTGGGTTTCCACCATGAAAGATCCTAAAAACTACTGCTTCTTTTTCTCATCAACCTCGCCACTCTTGCGGTACCCCGACTTCGAATAGGTAGCGATGAGCCTCCACAGAACCCACGCGAATCCCACCACCACCGCGGCCGCCGTCCCGACCCGAACCCACTCGGCCTGCTCGGCTTCAAGGACCGGCACCCGCACGATGCTCGACAGCCGACAGCCGCCCTCGGCCTCCGACCCTGCAACAGGTCGCGGATCGACGTGCCAAAAGACTGTACGCGGTCCGAACAACGCGTCGTAGCCCAAGTTCACCCTCTCAAAGGGGCTGCTCGGGAACTTTGTGCCCTCTTCGGAGGAGCACGCCCAGAACACGGCTGGGTAGGGTACCTCCACGTCCGTATAACCGCCGGCGGCCGGTTCGAGGTACCGCAGGTGCAGCGGCACCTCCGCTGTCCATTCCTCGTCCTTCTCCGTTGCTGGCGGCTTGAGCTCGAGCAGGACGCCGGAGCCCCATGGTTTCGTGGCGTAAGCAGGTGCCTCGAGGTCGACGGGTGAGGTGGAGTAGCGCAGGGCTGTGAGGTTCTTGGACTGTAGGAAGAGGTCATCGGCGAGCTGGTAGCGGTCGGCGAAGACGGTCTTTGGTAGCGTCAGATGCGCATGGACGGCGCAGTATGCGTCATCCACCGGGGGCTTGGCCGAGGTGAGTGCGAGCTGCAGCGTCGGGTGCAGGCCCGTCGGCTCAAGGAACTTTGCGGAGAAGGAGCTTGGGGAGGAGGAGGCGCCCCCATGCAGGCGGTGGCGGGCGGGCACATTGAAGAGGACGGGGGACGGCTTCTTGTGCTCGCCGAGCACTGTGAGGCCGCCGGCCATGCCAATCTCGTGGGGCTCAGGCTTCGAGGAGTCGTCGGTAGTGAGGATACCGACTTCGGTGCGGTGGTTGGGCGTCGAGGCGACGGAGACGCGATGCTTGCCGTAGGGCCATTGGGCCGTGAGTTTGAGAGCGTGTGAGATTGTGTCGTAGGATATGTCGAAAGACGCTGCTGTCTTGAGTTCTTCGGCGCGGGACTTGCAGGCGGTGTCTGATGCCGGGCAGAGCTGTTCGGCTGCGTACTGTGTGAATGCGGTAAGGTCCTCTAGCGGTTGGTAGTATTGGAGGGCGGCGGAATGAGAGAATCGGTCATTTGGAAGACTTGTGAATGACTAGATGGTCTGTTAGACGGCGGACTGCATAATCAAATCTAAGATGGTGATAGTCCGTACCTCGGACGATGAGCAGCCGCTGCCACCAAAGGCGTTCTTGAGAGCTTCACATAGTTTTGTCCTGCGCTCATGTCAACGCTTGTATCTTTACCGTGTACCACGCCAACTCACCCGTCCCATTCCCCTTCCCCTTCCCTCTTCGGCGTGTAAAAGAGGTGAAAGCCAGGCGACACCCTCGAAGCTAAGGGTCCGATGGTGTCATAGACCAAAGGACTGACCCATCTGATATGCAGCTCGTGGCTCTCACTCAGAAGCTGGGAAAGCTCAGACGGAAGCTCCTCCAAAGCCAGTGTGACTCTGTCTTCCCGGACGGACAAGATCTCAGGGCCCTTGACACCGGCATTGCTGACCTCGAGAGACTCTGGCGGCACGCCATCGCTGGGCTTGTGAATGAAGGTAATTCGTTGACGCATGTTGATAATGTCGGATGCAGCACGACGGTGGTCTCGGCAACCGACTTCCGGTCAATACGAAACCCTGACTGATACTTTGCGATAGACAGATTGCACACAAGGTAGTACTGCCGATGAAAGTGGGCTCCTCGGTGACGTGAATGGTGTAGAAATGATCAGTGAGTGAACAGCGTGTGCTCGGATGGGTCCGTTGGCATCGACATCGGAGGCCCGTTGCTGAGGACACCTCGCTCGGTACAGAAAGTGTGCAGCTCCAGTTCGGCACCCAGTTCGGCGGGGGTTGAGGGGCGATCGAGCTACAGCTCCAGTGGGCTTTAGTGGCTAAGCTCAGATACAACAAGGGTCTATTCAGGGCCCCTCCACCTGGAAGACCAACACATAACTAGGTATCCTGTCCGCTTTCTGGAGGATGAGCCACATGCACCCGCCTTAGATAAGAACCAGCCACATCAGATAAGACACAAAGCCGGCACGTGCCCAAGATAGACGCCAGCTTTTGCAGGTTGATCCACCTGCCCAGCCGTCTTGACCTCATTAGGTCACCGGCGCCTGGATGACGCTAAACCGCTTTGGCTACCGACGTTCGCGCGAAAGTGGGATGCCACCCGCCCTACGTCCACCGAGACGAACGGCGCCAATGTCAGAAAACACCGCCGACGTCTCTCCTCGACTTTTTCTCATCTCGACCAAGAGACTGTTCGTTGATCTTGCTCGACGATGCATCAGACGCCGCTTCCGAGACTGCAGTCTTTCTGGCTATTACGTCCCTCCTAGTGTCGTCTCTCATCGCGATATGCATTTCATCAACACCTTGTAGCGAACGACATCCCACGCCGCAGATTCCACTGACCTTTGCGATATCTTGGCCGCTCCGGTAGATACCCCGCCATTCTCTAAGCAAGCGAAGGAAGGGCCAAAGAAGCGCGAGGCATCCGCAGAAATGGGCGACTATCAGCCCTACGTGACTATCCGGTCGCGACGGCCCGCCGACGGCAACAGCGTAGGCAGTGCAGACTCGACTGTAGGTGCAAGGGTCTCGACACACCAGTCGCGTAGAGTCCAAGTAAGCTCACAAGCTGGTCTTGCTCAGTACGGATCCAGCTCCGGCGATGCGCCCCGTACCGCCACCCACGATGTCAGCCGCGTGAGCTATCATGTGAAGCATCTCGACAGCTTCGCGCAGACTTTGGAGGATGTAAGTCTCGGCGGACCATTAACCGAACCCGCCTCGGTCATTTACTAACATAGTCCTAGTCCGCCAACCGAGCATTTCCCAACCGCGGGAGGTCCTCGCAGCGGTATACGAAGGTCCAGGCCTTGCTGCTCCACTGGGGCTGTGATGACCTCTTTGTGCTGCCTGAGCTGGAGGACCTGGAAAGGTGTCTCCGCGAGGACTATGCCTTTAACACAGAAATCTTCCCCATACCGTCCGAAAACTCACATCTAGAGCTCATGATGCAAGTGGGGAAGCTGATCAAAGACCACGAGGCCCAAGACACTCTCTTTTTAGTCTACTACGGTGGACACGCCAGGATAGACGAGTCGAGACAGAGTACTTGGTGCGCGTAAGTAATCGCAACGCTCGTAGCTTGGAACATTCGTCCTCATACGTCATTAGAACACGGCATCCCGACTCGCCTTGGCTTCAGTGGTCTGCGATCCAGACATTGCTGGAACGTTCGGCATCCGACGTTCTTATCCTTCTCGACTGCTGCGCCGGGGCTGCAAGCGCAACGTTTCCCAACGGCAATAGCATCACCGAGACCATCTCCGCCTCGAGCTGGGATGCCATCGCCCCAGACCCGGGTCGCTACTCCTTCACAAACGCCCTGATCGAGGTGATGCAGGAATGGCGCCTCCGCGCCTTTTCTGCGGCGATGCTACACGCCGAAGTGCTCGCCCGTTTGAAGCACCCACGTCCCGTCACCATCAATGGCAAGCTCTTCGAGGCCAGGTCGACTCCCGTTCATTTCATGATGACGGCTAACCACAAGGCACCGAGCATCGAGTTATCCCGAGTCGTACCCGCTGAGAAAAGGCCGCCCTCGCCTCCTCAGGAGGTCGCAGCGGCCGTAGATGGGAGTGAAGCGCCTGAGGGATTGCCTGGTGGGCGAGGGCCAGGTGCCCCCATCTCTGGCGAGCCGAATGAGGATACACCTCATGTCATGATTTCACTCGCGCTAGAAGATGATCAGCAGCTGGATCTCAACGCATGGGAACAGTGGCTGTCCAACTTCCCGGCCATGGCCAAGTACGTCAAGGTTCAGGGTGTTTTCAAAAGCCACTCTACACTTCTCCTTGTGTCCATGCCGGTGATGGTATGGGACCTCCTGCCTGAGGACCATGCCACCTCTTTTGTAGCTTTCATTAGGTCAAACAACCTTGTGGCCCAGAAGACACAAAAAGAAGAGGCTGAAGTCCAAGTACCAACCAGCAGAGGCTCTCGTGCAGTATCTGACAGGATACAACCTGACTCTGCGTCGATGAATACGTTCTTTACCGACCATACATACACATATGCTCCGACGGAGACGGGCAGCGTCATGAACCAGCAAGTAGCTGGTCTACAATCGTTCTCTTTTAGCGACGGGCCAGGTTCAAGACGAGACACAGAAGGACAGCTCGCAGGCCCGGGGTCGCCAGTAGTATCACCATCCTCATCGCCGCTTGGTGGTACCTCGCGGCCGTTGCGGCCTGCGAATCCTGCAGCATCACCCGGCATTCTTCAGCGCCAACTCACTTCATCTTCTCAAGCTTCATCTGAGGCGGTGATCACGAGGACGATGATACCCAATCAGCAGAGAAGTGCACGTACAACTGTCTTCCGCGATATACCCGAGCCGCCTAGGTTCTCACAGCACGTCGAGACGCTACTCCAGCAATACTACCGGCAAGAACCTATGCCCAACGACGACCAGAAGAACTTTGTTGCCTCAAATCTGGGTATAGAACTATGGCACGTCGATGTAGGTATCTCTAACGCTCACGACAGGAGAATGCGTCACTGACCCTTACAGGCCTGGTTCCATTATCGGCGGGAAAGAGATATCGTCTCGCAGCAATTTCAAAAGCTCAAGATGAATGACCCGGCTCCAGAGGCAACCCATGGAGCTCAGATGATACTGCCCCATCACCTCAATAAAATCATTGAGATCTTGCCCGCCGGCAGGATACTACTGATTGACCTCAGACCACCAGCCGACTATGAAAAATCCCATATTAGAGGCGCCATCAACCTTCGTGCGCCCCTAAGCTTTGTACAAGATGCATCGTTCGACATGATCGAGCGCGCCTTCCCGGATCACGAAAGCAGACAAAAGTTCGGAGAATGGCAGTCGGCAAGCTGCATGGTACTCTACGCCCGCGCCGTGGACTCTCCCGGGGAATGTCCTCTAGCCGACGTACTATACGACAAGTTCAAGAGCTGGGGCTGGCGTGGTCGATGTTTCGTTCTCAAAGGCCATTACAGGGAATTCAGCGTGTCCTACAGCAAATCCATCGCCGGATCCAAGATGACGGACGAGGCCAGGGCATACGCGGAAACCCTCCTTCGAGACAGCAACCAGAAATCGACATCGTCAGTAAATGATGACGCGGCGAGGAGGGCCCAGTACGAGGAGCTGCTGATGCAAATTGACAATGAAGGCAGAGTGAACCCATCATCAAGTCCTAACCCGTCAGCCAGCTCGACTCGCGCGCGGGCCATGAGCCAGCATGAACGAGACCTCGAAGCCGAATTCCGACGTCGCGTCCCGGACCTCTACCGCAAAGCCCTGGACATCCAGGGCAGCAGCCGTGGGGCCGCTGCCGAGGCGCCACCCGTTGGCACTGGTACCGAGACAGCAACGGCAGCATCTGAGGAAGTATCGACAGGGCAAACAAGGGGAACGAGATGGGACGGCTCGCCTACGGACTACTCTGCCGGGAATGGAGGCGGCGAAGACAAAGGCGGAGGTGGCGAAAGGGACAGCACCACCGCCTCGGCTCTTGATACAAAAGCGCCGCTCGTCGAGTATCTCGACAGAGGCCTCTCCTACATCCGGCAGGGGAGACCTGCCGACGCATCTGTCGATGCCTCTGCTGCCCCTTCTCGTGACACCAGAATCACCAGCGCCAACACTCCCTCGGGACTGTCGAAACTCGCCGCGGAGGGTTACCACGCGTACTTTGACTCGGGGGCGGCCGTCTCGACGCTGTCGGACGATTCGTACGTCAAGATCGCCAAGGGGGATGCCCAGCAAGCGAGCGATCACATTCCCGTCTCATCCCTCTCATCCTTCCCCCCAGGCCCGGGCCATCACCACCACCAGGATCACCACGGCGGACTCGGAGGGAAAGACGGGACGAGGGACGCCGCCGCCGGCGGTGGCCCGTCCGAGGATGAAACGCCCAGAAGGGGCCGGGGCGGTTTCCTAAATAAGGTTCTGCGGCGAGCATAAATCTGTTCAGGAAGGTACTGTGGTGCCTGGTCCCAATGCCTTTGCCTGGAGACGATGCGACGGTCGCGGGCGTGGCCGTTCGTCTTGACGGTGCTCCTTCGTGTTTTTTCGGGTTCGGCCATTTTTGTTGTCAGGCACCCGAGGGAGAGGGGCAAGGAGCAACCATGACGGCTGCTCGTCCTTCCCACCCACCGCCTCTTCTTCACTTGAAGTTTTAGGATCAGGGGCAGCATTCCATCGACATTGGCATACTTTGGTTTGGTCTGGTCTCGCACGCGTAGGTTTGGCGTCCTTTTCAGGTTTTGGAACGAGCCAGCGATTCAAACCCAAAAGACAAACAAAAAGGCTAGCACGGGGTGGCAACGTTTGGGTAACAGAAAGCATCTGTATTGTGTGTGCGTGACTGCGTGTGCTTTTATTTCTCTATCTTATGGAACATGGGCTATATCGGGACAAAAGCATTGGGTTTTGGCATATCATGGTCCCCTGCTCCTTCACCTACGTCTCCATGCCCCCCGTCTCAATGTGGTCGTCCAGTCGCGTCTTGTGCCGTGGGGTTTTCATCCGTTCTTTTGCCGGGCATGTTCATGGGAGAGCAGTTGCATACTCGTTTGGAGATGGAGGCGAAAGCAACGCTCTCGCCTGTCCTTTTTCCGAGGCACTCATGGACCGGGTTCATGGGAGGAACGCAACTCGCGAACAGCGGAGTCGAGACGTGATGGGGGAGGGGAGGTTGAGGGCCAACCCCTCCAGCACAGCCTGTCGTACCTTGTGTTCTGTCGTCCTTCAGATGTTTCCGTCTGGGGAAGGGGGGTGGGAGCGCGATGGAAGGGGTCGCTTGTCAAGCACATCCATCAAAGTTATGAGGCAAGGACACACCAGACAACACCATGGGTCGCTTGCTGCCCGTTCGTCTTGAACAAAGGATGTCAAATAGCATTTCTTACGTTTTGGATTTCCGCATGGCCCCCCTCCCTCCACCTCTTTCTCTCTCCTTTTCCCGTCTCCGTCTTCATGTTTCTCTCCGCCCTTGAACCCGGAAGCTCGGGTATCACGTCATCCGTTCTGATCAAGGTTTGGCTCTGCTATCAAGACATACCATAATAGATGAGAGACACGGGGCAGATTCAAACAGACATGCAAAGCAGGCACATCCATGCCTTGTTTGATTTGTCAAAGGACGGGAAAGGGTAGACCGTATCTCTGAAATCGTAATTCGCGGAGAATTTACCAGGCTGCAGCAGTTGGAGGGGTTGATCATGGACGGGTGGCGGGCCACTGAGTAGATCCCGCGATCTTCTTTTTTGGTTTCCTCAGTGGTATTTTATTTTTATTTTTTTTGGGCTCGTTTGCATCAGAAAAGGTAACGTTGTGTTGGTTCATCATCATACGATTGGAGAAGGTATGGGAATGAGAACGTCCTTCAGGCTATTCTTGTCCAACCTCGTTTCTAGTGGGTTGAGAGTAGCGCCCGCGTTGTAGAGTGGTTTGATCTGGGTTGCTGGGGCTGGGGTGGATTAGTTCTAGGTCTCCGATCCGAAAGTATGCAGGTTGGATCCAATGTCGAAAGGAAAATGCATCCACGGTACTTCGGTCTCAAGATCGTCCCAGTACGAACAACGGTCCAGTGAGACAAGACCGGTTGGTGCCTGGTCTGATGTTGCGAACATGTGTTGATGTGTACCCGCCCCCAGTACGGCCATTCCCAGCCCGGTTTTTCTGGTAGCAATGCGTGGCAAGGACGAACGTCCGGCGCCGCTGGCTTGCAAGCCAGCGAACGCAAAGAGGGGGCCGAGATCGAACATCTGTGTGTCTGCAGCTCTTGTTAGGTTCTTTGCAGAGCTGTCAGAGGTCCCGACCGACCAATCCACTGCGCACGCAGACGAAGGCAGCCCTGGGGCCGAAAAACGACAAATTTCGCTCTGACCGGGTGTCAAAAACGTCCGTAATTGACAGGTAGGTTAGGTTGTACGGCGTCAGGCCATGTGTGTGAGAACCAAAGCGACGGGAAGGCTGTATTGTCCTGTGACAAGCTTCACCTCAAGCCTCGCAAGTGTCGTCCAGAAACAGCAAACAGATCAGTGCCTTTTTTTTTTCTCTCTCTGTGCGGGCGCGGACTGATGTTTCTTCTTTCGCGACAGGTTCAGAGGGTGGTGGGGTCTGTGTCGTCCAACGGTTGCTGTCAAAGGGAAATCGACAAGATGCGACTGGCTGGCAGATGTGACATGTCAAGGCTCCCCCCCTCCTTGGATGCCAACTACTCAATGGGATGGTGGTGGTGGGTGTGGAGGGATCCGACAAGCAGTGAGATCCTGTACTGTGTACGTTACCAGACCTTCTCACTGCTAAGGAGGAAAAAGAAAAGAAAGGGGAAAAAGGAAAACGAGAAGCCAAGGCCCCGTCCCTGCTGACGGCGGAGATGAGCAGGAATGATTCATTGAGAATACCCGATTATCGACGGACAGTGGCTTGACAGCGGGGCATAGATATGCACGACATGGCATCACGACGAGAATGCGAGAAAGTCAGAAAAATTCGAATGAAAAATGAAATAAAATTAATAAAATAAAATTGAAAGGACCAGCTGCTTGGGGTCGAGAAACATCGCCGGTCCGTTCAACAACTTTCGGGGGCTTCTGCGGCACAAGGTTCCTGTGCGCGACTTACGCTTTGGTCGATCCAATCTCGAGAGTTTTTTAGTTTTTTTTCTGGCACTCTTCCATAAGCTGTCGTCGAAGGTTATGACGGTGTCATGTTCCGCTGTCGTCGGAGTTCACGTCCTTGGCCCAACCTTGAGAACGAAATGCGATTCGCTCGCCAGGAATCGCGACAGGTGCTGGGGTTCCCCTTGACCCGCTGAGGAGGAGGGGAGTGTTCCCAATCCAAATGAAGTTTTTTTTACGATTTGACAGGACGCTTGGACCATGTTAAGGCTGGACTCAAGCACCAGGGGACGGAGAAGGGGGAAGTACTATGTACCTAGTGTAGAGGGGTGGCAATGAATGAGGACCAGGAGGGAGTCTTCGGCAGGGATTGTTGGTGAGCATCGCCGGTCAGCTAGGTATGGCCCTGTCGTCGGAGCTGCTCTTGTCTTGCCAGGCTCATTACCTGGGTACTACAGCACCCCCTCCAAGGGTTCCCCTGGAGCAGTTTGGCAACCAAACTAAACTATATAGTATCATCGTCAACCGGTCGGGGTCAGATCAAGGCAAACGGGTGGAGAACAATCATCGGTTTTTTGGCACCGGTCGGACCTGCCTGTTCAGTTTCAAATGTTCGGAAGCAACGCCAAAAGATTGCCAATTGTGCACGACTTCCGGGATGAGGTCGGCCGCGAAGCCCAGATTTGCCTGCGGTCATTGTCCGCACGCCGCTTGACAAGCAGGCACACAAGTTGCGAGTGGATGAGATATTAAGAAGCCCCATACTTCGGCCTCAGGGGCTGCGAAGCCAATGTGCAAGCTTCTGGCTTCTGTCATCCCTGCTGGTCACGCCAGTTTTGCATATTGAGTTATGAGGGTTGCTTCCTCAGCCTGGCTGATCCTTGGAAAGAATGGGGACATGGTGTCGGCAGAAGGCATCTTTGGACGTCGACCCCCCTTAGCGACTTTGCCACTCCACTTGAATCGTCCTAGTCCGATCCATCAGCGTTGGATCTGGTGGTCCCCTGGCGGCTGTCAAACTTGACAGATCCCCTTAGCAATTTTGGCAACAGTGGGGAGAACGAAGGCCATCGATATGACTCCGGAGGGGTGAAGATGGAGCTTTCGCCTGGGCCTGGCAATGAAATATTACGCTGTGCCAGAAAGAAATGACTTCATAATGAGGCCAGATATCTCGTCCGCCTATCCTTCTATACACTGTTAGTGGGGTTTTAATATCTGCCGATTCCCAATCGCGTTGCTGCGATTCTTTCGGCTATGCAACTTGGTGCGGCCTTGCACTCGGTGCCGCATGCAGGTTTGGCAGCCTTGAGAATGGATCTGATCGAATCCAGAGTCTTGTTTGCTTCACCTTGCCTTCATCGGGGGAGCATCGCCGAAGTAGACTTGAAGATGACATGCAGCACACCATCCTGTTGCCCTGATGAGGTCGGGAATGGCTATAGGTGGTGACGAGATGGGAGCCACAATCTGTCCACAACGCCCTCGGCTCTTTTTCTTTGCTAGCACACGGTGCCACCGACTGACGGACGTCTCCCCCTCGTGGTTCCATCCTGGCACCGGTTGCCGTATTTCCCATGACGCTAACGTTGGCCGTTGCTGTCACCCTGAAAGTTTGCGCTTGACCTGCGGAGCAGAAAGCGGCTGCATCAACTGACGTTGCCGACCGCGGGACGTGACCACAGCCGGCTACACGAGCAAGTGCACATTTGGCTGCAACTGCCGCTTGGTGGGCCTCAGGGGTCTCCATCTGATATGTCTGTGTCACTTCCGGGACCCAGAAGAGCAGCCCAGTACAAATTGTTTCCAACACGACAGCCCCATGCGGCTGTGTTACTCAATAAGGAGCAGCTTGCGCAACGCGATACACGGGGCCGTGACCAGGGTCACCGCCGCCCAAAGGCCCGATCTAGGCATTGCAGAAAAGAAATTATCGTCACGGCCTTTGCTCACGACGTACAAGTGATGACAGCCGTCGTAAAGTGTCCACTGGATTCCCAGGCCCATGGGATGGTTGGACAACAGGATGTGTCTTGATCGTATGTAGGTGATGCAATGCGGGAAAAGGCTCGCCCGGAAGCTTGCAGGTTGTACGCCAGCCCAGACATTTGAAAGCTCCTATCGAGGCCCTGGTAATGACCTGGCTTAAAGCGATTTCCAGTTGTGCGGTGCTTGACACCGCTCCGTGATCAACGTGGAAACCTGAAGAGTGGTCCTGTGTTGGCAAGAGTCTTCCACATAGACTGCCATCTTCATTCATATTGCAGCCAACAACATGCACTTTTGAACTCGAACGGTTGGTTAGTGTTTGCGATATTCCGTTAATGAAGGATATCA